GTGGCTTGAACCCAGGAGGTAGAGGTTGCAGTGAGCCAAGATCACACCACTGCACTCCAGCCTGGGTGACAGAGTGAGAATCCATCTCAAAAAAAAAAAAAAAATGGAAAGAGGCTTGGGGTTACCCAGGGAGGATGGGCAGGACATTTGGGCAAAAGCCTGAGGGATGTAAGAATTGGACAATCCAAGCAGAAGAACAATATGTGCAAAGGCCCTGTGGCAAGAGCATTGGTTGGCACATTTTGCCAAACAGCAAGAAGAGGCCTGTATGGCTTGAGCAGAGAAGATGAGGGGTTCAGTAGCAGGAGGCAGTCAGAGAAGGGTGGGGTGGGTCAGATCATGTAGGATGCTACAGACCATTGCAAGAACTTCGCTTTTACTCTAAGTCACTGGGGCTGGCAGACTTTTTTCAAAGGACCCATAGTAAATATTTTAGGCTTTGGGAGTCATACAGTCACTGCTGGAACTCTTCAGCTCTGCCATTTTAACCTGAAAACAGACATAATATATAAATGAGTGGGGTTGTGTTTCAATAAAGTTTTACTTTAGAATAACAGGCAGCAGATCTGTTTTGCCAAACCTGGCCCTAATTTAAATGGAATGCCATTTGAAAGTTTTGAACAGAGAAGACACTTGACTAACCTGTTTTTTTTTTTTTAAAGTATGTTAAAAGCCTTTTTATTCTGAAATAATTTTAGATTTACAGAAAGTTGCAAAAATTATAGAGGGTATTTTCTTCACTCAGCTGGCTCTAATGTTAACAACTTATGTAGCCATATTATAGTTTTCAAAACCGGGAAGTAAACACTCAACTAAACTATAGACTTTATTTGAGTTTTTCTGCCTGGGTTCGCCTTTCTGTTCCAGTGTGCACTGTGGATTACCACATCAGAGTTAGCGGTTCTCATGCCTTAGCTTTTTCCTGTCCATGACAGGTCCTCAGGACGTTTGTGTCTTTCATGAACTTAGTTTTGATGAGTACTGGTCAGTTATTTTGTAAAATGTCTCAGTTTTGGTTTATCTGATATTTTCTTATGATTATATTTTGGCTCTGCATTTTTGGCAAGAATAATATGGCTTACCTTTTTAAAAAAGATCCTGCTGTCTGCTTTGGTAAGGGCAAAAGAAAGGAGACCACTTAGAAAGCTGTTGCCAAAATCGAGGTGGGGCTTGGACTGGGAGAATGTTCATGGAGGCAGTTAGAGATGGGTAAATTATGAACATACTTTGAACTAAATGGGTTCTAATAAAAATGAGAACCATTGCTATAGCATCAATATTCCATTAAGGACAAAGCCCCAGTTAATGAACTTAAAATAGCCCTTTTAGTGTTTTCGGTTTATTTTTGTATGTTGGAATAGAAATATGTATCAGATTTACTTAAATGTCAAATCTTCAGAGAGATATTCTCTGAATATAATGTTTAAATAGGTTATCTCTGTTTTACCTCTATTACTGCATTCTGTTTTTATAACACAATACTCAGTTATATGTGCACATACATATGTGTACATATTTTTGTTTGTTTGTGAACTGCTTCTCTCACCAGTTTTAAGTTTTACAAGGCAGAGATCTTTATTTACCAACCTATACTCAGAGCTTGGTAATATGGATATGGTGGATCCATTTATGTACCCAGTATGGACACAATGTATATATCCATCCATTTCTTTTCTCCACATTCTTCCTAATACTGGTTATTTTTTGCCTTTTTGACAATTAGCCATTCTGACCGATATGATGACATCCGATTGTGGTTTTAATTTGCATTTCCTTAATGATTAGTGGTGTTGAGCATTTTTTATATATCTGTTGGCCATTTGTATATCTTCTTTTGGGAAATGTCTATTCAGGTTCCTTGCCTATTTTTTCCTCCTCTTGACCTGTTTGAGTTTCTTCCATATTTTGGGTATTAACTTCTTATCAGATGTACAGCATACAAATATTTTCTCCTGACCCATAGGTTGTAGAGACACTATTAATACTGTTATTTCCTTTGCCATGTAGAAGAGTTGTAGTCTGATGTGATCCTATTTGTCTATTTTTGTTCTTGCTGCCTGAGTCTTTGGGGTCATATCCAAAAAAACCTTGCCCAGGCCAGTGTCACGTAGTTTTTCCCCTATGTTTTCTTCTGGTGATTTTAGACTCTTTTGTTCTTAATCCATTTTGAGTTGATTTGAATATTTGGTGTGAGCTGAAGATCCATTTTATTCTATATGGATATAGAGTTTTCTCAGCACTGTTTGCTAAAGAAATTTTTTTCATTGAGTATTCTTGGCACCTTTGCTGAAGATCAATTGACCATACATGCACGGATTCATTTCTAGGCTCTATATTCTGTTCCATTGGTCAGTGTGTCTATATAAAAATGTGGGAGAGGAGAGAGTACTTCCAAACTCTTCTTAATGAGGCCAGTGCTACCTCAGAATTTTGATAGGGATAACATTGAATCTGTAGATCACTTTGGATAATATGGACATTTCAATCATATTAATTCTTCCAATTCATGAACACAGAATGTCTTTCCATTTATTTGTGTGTCCTTCAAATTATTTCATCAACATTTTATAATTTTCAGTGTCTAGTTCTTTTACTTCCTTTGTTAAAGTTTTCCGTATTTTTTGGTAGCTATTGTAAATGGGATTGTTCTCTTGATTTCTTTTTCAGATTTCTTTGATTTCTTTTGGAACTGGTCTTACTCAACTTTGTATTCCTGTTTCCTTAGGTGGACAAATCACTGTCCCTCATCAAATGCTTATCAAATTGAATTTCAGGTTGTTAAACACAGTGAAGTTCATAAAACCCTGATTGTTCATTTTCTCCAAAATTATAGCTTATTGAGTGCTTAAATCCTCGTTGGTCAAATTTGTGAATGATAACTTATTTAAAAAGAAATCACTAATGTTTGGGCTTCTATTGAGGAAGTACAGAGAGTTTTGAGCTATATTCTAACTGTATCTTCGTAGTTTGTTAAGAGTTTAAAGGGTGTAGTCTCGTGAAACTATCTTACTCATGGGTCTTTAGACTTAACAGCAAAAATTAGAATTACTTTCAATTACAGAAATTAAAATACTTTTTCAGAAAGTCTGTTATAAGAACTTTTTATAATTTGATGGTTTTGTGACTTCCAGGATTAAGCTATACCTTCTTTGTTTGTTTTTCTCAAGTATTAAGTGTTTTGACAGTCTTTATAACATAGATAATATTTTATATATCATTGAGTCTTTTAACAATTGAGCATTGTAATATCTTATCACTGTATTTAAAATTGATAGGTAGGTGTATTAGTCTGTTTTCATGCTGCTGATAAAGATATACCCAAGACTAGGTAGTTTATAAAGAAAAAGAGTTTAATGGACTCACAGTTCTACATGGCTGGGAAGGCCTTACAATCATGGCGGAAGACGAAAGGCATGTCTTATATTGCAGCAAACAAGAGAGAAAATGAGAATCAAATGAAAGGGGAAACCCCTTATAACACCACCAGATCTTGTGAGACTTAGTTGCTATCACACGAATAGTATGGTGGAACTGCCCCCATGGCTCAGTTATCTCCCCAGGGTCCCTCCCAGAACACATGGGAATTATGGGAGCTACAATTCAAGATGAGATTGGCTGGGAACACAGGCAAAGCATATCAGCAGGGCTTTGGCTGGCTCAAAAATGTGGCCATGGCCCTGCAACACATCCTGCCATGTCCTTGGCCTGGTTGTCCCTTGGGCTTCCTGGGGTCTTGAAGGGGTTAGGATCTGGAGTTAAGAGGAAGGTGGTATCTGGACACATGCAGTGGAGAAATAATGCTCATAATTTTTTGCTTTTGCCCATCACCTGTTACCCACCCTGTTAATCAGTCCCTACAGCTATCCTAGAAAGCAGTTTCTCCTGTTGTCTCTATTTTACTGTGGAACTGAGGCCCAGAGAGGCTTAGCAGCTCTCCCAAAGTTATCCAGCTGGTAGGAGGCAAAGCTGGAATTCTCACTTTGGCCCAATTCCATGGTCTTTGACATAGCATCAGAGACAGACTCAGTTTACCTCTTAGAAGAGAAGAGCTAATGGTATTTATCTCTGTTAGACCCCCGGGAGCCAGGGCCCTGGAAGAAGCAGGGGCTTACTGGAACATCACCTCTTGCAGGCAGCCTCCTCTTAGGCCTCTACCCTCCAGGCTAGGTTAGATCTGAACTTGGTTGAAAATGTCTGTTTATAACATGTCTGCCATGCTTAGAATTGTCTTGTTCACTGCAGTGGTTCCAGCCTGGCCTAGAGTAGGCACTCAGTAAATGTTTGTGAAATGTAAATATGTGATTCATTAAATGAGTAAAGAAAATAAAGTAAAATTAATGAGAAGTATTAGAAATTTGTCGTGTTCATAATTCAAAAATACGCAGATCTGATAAATGTTTATTTCTAACAGATTAAAGTGCTTTTGATTCAGTTATCAGTATCAGTGTAATAATAATAATAATATAGCGTAATAATACAGCTGCTTTTTATTACAGAGTTTTATGGTTTATCTCATAATCTCTAAGGCATTTTACCCCTTTTTTAAAAATAGAATAGGAAATTGAAACTCAGAGAAATGACTTACTTTAGAGTATACAGTTCAGTAGCTACAGAGGTAAATCTTGAACCTAGATTTTATGATTCCAAGTAGAAAAATCTTTATTCATATCATTCAGCATCTGTCACTAATATTATTCACTGTAGTTTGGATGTTTTGATAGAAGTAGATATCGTTTTTGTGCTCAGTTTTCCTACTGAATCCAACACAGATAATTAAAAATAATAAAAACTTTAAATCTGCTTATTTTGTTGATAAGTGCTCAATGACATATAGTAGTACAATAGAACAATACATAAATGCAAATCTAATAAATTGTCTAAAAATTTAATGTATGTTTTCAATGAATGTTTTTATCATTCATTTAATTTTGAGTTCAATATTGACAGTTAAATAAAAATATAAAAACATGAATGTAGATACATTTTTTTTTCTTTCCCAGACAGATATTGATTATGTACATGGGGTTGTAGCCAACCTGGAGAAAGAGTAAGTTCTTCTTAATTATAAACATAAAAATATTTTGGTGACTATTATCTCTTGGTTTCTTGCTAAAAGAAAATCCCTTCCTTGATAGTTCATTTCTCTGTGGAGTTCATTGTTTATGAGATCACCTCTGATTGGTATTTTGTATTGTCATGAAGTAGTGCAAATATATCCAGTTATGTGATGGGATAAATTGGTATATTTCATTTTAGAAAAGACTTGAATGTCTTATGTATGTAGCACTATTAAATAACAGTCTTTAACCTTGAAGACAATGAATATAGAGAGAATCATATGGGATTAAATCTTTCACACTGTTCTTACCAGGCAAAATTTTCTGCTCTCAGGGTAGATATTCACATAGCAATTTCAGACCTCAATTTTAAACTATGTCTTAATCTGTTCTTCTGTTCTGCAAGGATTGAGTAGCAGTTCACTATGAGCAAGGCACATGGCAGGTAACAGAGGGAAAGCTTAGTAAGTTTCAGGTATTATTATTTTTATAATATTGCCTTAACAGTTTTAAAATGTAATAAAATTAGTATTTCTATGAGTTTCTTCATTAAATTGTATCTGTTTTTTGTCCCTAAAAGACATACCTTCTACTTGAAAAGACAAAAAAGAAGCAACAATCATTTGCTAACCCTGCATTGAAAATAATGTGGCTCTTTTTCTATCCAAATGTTAAAATCGAATATTTTAAAAAGTTACGCATAGTTCAGGATTAAATTGTTATTTGTTTGATTTCCTGAAGTGCTGAGTTTCTTCAAAGTCTTTATAGAAACACAATTTGGCGTAGACTTCTTAAGTAAAGGAACAGAGCAATAACGATGGGCCCCCCTTTCCACAGACCCCATGGGCAGGCCTATGGGCTTCTGCAGGGACTCTGTTGATTTACAGCTTCCTCTGCATATAGAAAACCAAGCTCAGAAAAAAAAGTACAGTTAAACACTAAGAACATTTGTGCAAAGGCAGGCAGTTGCACTACCATTTTGTGGAGATTTGCAAAAATGAATCAAGGGAGGATGCAAAAGGGAAAGAAATTACATTTGAGTCAGCACAGACTAATTAAAAACGTTAGAAAGGGTTCTCAGCCTCGCGCTGGGGAAATTTTGGGCCAGATAATTTTGTGTTGTGGGGACTGTCCAATGCATTGTAGAATGTGGTGCAGGATCCCTAATGTCTACCCACTAGGTGTCAGTAGTACTGACCACCACTGTGGGAACCAGAACATCTTCAGACATTGCTAAAGTCCTCCAGAGGGACAGAATCACGTGCAGTTAAGAAACACTGGCTGAGAATGACATGTGGTCTGTAACCTACGGGCAGAGCTTCCTGAGGTTGTAAGAACTTTGGTTTTGCATAAATATATGTATTTAAAGATACATACATACTTACTTGTTTTTCTTCAATTTTCTGTTTTCTGTGAGACCTTGATTTTTTTTTTTTTTAATTCAGATGCATTTTAGGAACATCAATGCCTGCAGTTGGCTTAGGATTTCTCTGCTACTTTAATAATAGCAGTATTTTATAGTTTTTAAAGCAGTACTTAAAAAAAAAAAAAAACTTTTGCCGTTGGAGAAACCTGTATTTTCTGGTAAATGAAATCAGTGGTGAGCTGCTCCATTTAACATCCTGTGGCCGTAACATTATATGTTGCTACAAATGATTACTGATGTGTTTTATGTTAAACACAGTACATTGAGCGTTAAGATAAATAAAATTCCACAGAACTTAAATAACTCAGCTAATCTTTCTCATAATAGATTTTCTAAAGAAATCAGTTCTGGCTTGGTGGAAGTCATATCACCCCCTGAAAGCTATTATCCTGACTTGACAAACCTAAAGGAGACATTTGGAGACTCTAAAGAAAGAGTAAGGTGAGCATGTGCTGTTTCAAATCCTCCACACTTGTGAGCTTATTTAAATACCTAAAACATGTAGTTTTTATTTATCGAAGCTGAAAACATTTTAGAGTTGAATTTGGTAAAATATTCTAGGTAAGTCTCATTACGTCCAGGACAGTTTGTGAGATAAGGTAGGGTTTTCTTAGAATATGTAAAAACTTAGTATCAACTTTTAACTGTGTTTTCTTAAACTAGCTTTTGGATCCGCTTCTCTTATTTAACTTTCATGGGGTGTTTCTGTAGGCTACCGGGAATTCACTGACAGGATTTAATACTGTAAATTTAAATATGAAGTTTTTTTTTAAAGCATTCAGTACATACTTATGAACTTTTATCTGCATGTAAAACAGTCCTAGGCACCAGAGCAGGGATCCTAAAAGTATAGCTTTTGAAGCACTCGTTTGATGAGACATTAAGATATTACTGAAAAAAGGGTGTGTGTTCAAGGAAGTTTGGAAAATAATGGATTAAGAAATATTTTTCCAAGAAATGTCTTTATTGCTGGGTATTTTAGTGCCTCCTGTGAACTAGTATGTTTCTAGAAGGGGAATATGTATACAAACTTACTTGACATTAGACTTCTTTTTTCCTGAGGACAGCTTGAGGATTAGTGTTCTTGGGAATACATTTTGATAAAGGTTTCATTAGAGGAAAGTGAATTTTCTTTACTCTCTTTTCCAAGTGAGTATCTGTGTGTGTGTGTGTCTGTGTGTGTGTACATACATACACAGATGACATGTTATATAGACACTTGAGTACATTTAATCTTATTTTACTAAATTTGAGTCTGATTCCTAACGTACTTTTTGAAAATGTTTATTTCAGATGGAGAACAAAGCAAAACCTAGATTACTGTTTTCTAATGATGTATGCTCAAGAAAAGGGCATATATTACATTCAGGTAAGTATGGTTTTTCCTTTAATGTTTTTCACACTTATAAAGAAAAAGTGTTATCAAGGATATGTTCTCATTAAAACAGGAAGTTTTGAAAGTGAAAACCCTCTGAGATCTGTCAGATCATAACTGTCTCAGAGCAGAGGGGTCTCCATGGTAACCGAGCATGTGGGCTGTGACGTTTCTCTGTTGAGCAGCAACACCCACCCTCCACTTAGCAGGGGGCCTGCAGCTCACTATTTGTCCTCTTTTTCTCCCATTCCTCCATCTTCTCTCCCCTCTTTCCTCTCTCCACTGTCAAAAGAACTAAGATTTCATCATTTGGCAGATTTTAAAGAGGAATTTTCTTACCATTTTTTTTTAGTGGTCTTAGAGTGAAATAATTTTTTGTAGGCCACAATACCGTTACCACTATTTTGACATTTAATTGTAACAGTCCAGTTTTTAGCCCCCCAACAGTCCAATTTTTACCAAGAACACAATATGTCGTTGGATTATAGACATGAGCTGCTGTGTCCGACATGTCATGTGTTTTAAAATCAGGAAGTATGAAGCCTCCAACTTTTTTTCAAGACTATTTTGACTGTTTAGGTTCACTTGAGACTCCGTGTAAATTTTAGGAGTATTTTTTTCTATTTCTGTAAAAAAATGCTTTGGGGATTTTGGGTAGGGATTGTATTGAATCTATAGATCACTTTAGGTAGTGTGGACATTTTAATATTATTAAGTCTTCCAATACATGAATACAAGATAGATGTCTTTCCATTTATTTGTATCTTCTCTGATTTCTTTTAGAAATGTTTTGTAGAAAAATCTTTTACCTCCTCAGTTAGGTTTATTCCTAAGTATTTTATCTTTTTTGATAGTATAGTAAATGAGATTGTTGTATTGATTTTTTTGGGGGGGGATTGGTCATTGTTAGTATACAAAAATGTAGCTTTTTTGTGTGTTGATTTTGGATCCTGAAACTTTGCTAAAATTGTTTATTAGTTGTTTTTGGTAGATTCTTTAGGTTTTTCTACATATAAGATCATTTTATCTGCAAATAATGTTAATTTTACTTCTTTTCCAGTTTGGGTGGCTTTTAGTTTTTTTCTTAATTGCTCTAGTTAGCATTTTCAGCACTATGTTGACTAGTAGTGGTGAAAGTGAGACTCCTTGCCTTTCCCCTAATCTTAGAGGGAAAGCTTTCAGTGTTTGCTGTCAAATGTGATACTACCAATGGGCTTTTCATATATTACCTTTATTTTGTTGAGGAAGTTTTTTTCTATTTCTAGTTTGTCACATTTTTTAAAATCATGAAAGTGTCTTGAAATTTGTCAAATGCTTTTCCATATCAGTTGAGATGATCATGTGTTTTTTCCTTCCATTTTGTTAACGTAGTATGTATTACACTGATTGGTTTGTATGTTGCACAATCCCTGTATTGCAGTTATAAATCCCACTTGGTTATGGTGTATATAATTCTTTTAATGCACAGTTTAATTCCATTTGCTGATGTTCTGTTGAGGATTTTTGCATGGAATATTGGTCTGTAGTTTTCTTGTATCTCTGTCTGGCTTTGGTATCAGAGGAATGCTGGCCTCATAGAATGTGTTGCTAAAGTATTCCCTCTGTTTTAGTTCTTTGAAAGAGAACTGTTTGAGGAGGATTGATGTTAATTCTTCTTCAAGTGTTTAGCAGAATTTTTTCCAGTGAAGTTCTCTGGTCCTGAGCTTTTCTTTGCTGAGAGATTTTTGATTACTGCTTTAATCCCCTTACTTCTTATAAGTGTGTTCAAATTTTTTATTTGTCCATTCACCCTTGGAAAGTTGTATGTTTTTAGGGGTTTATCCATTTCGTCTAGATTATCCAATTTGTTGAAACGTAATTTGTTCCTAGTAGTCTCTTGTAATTCTTCTGTTTCTGTGTTATCAGAAATTGTGTTCCCTCTTTCATTTCTAATTTTAGTTATTTGAATCTTCTTCCTTTTTTCTTAGCTAATCTAGCTAAGGGTTTGTTAATTTTATTGATCTTTTCAAAAACCAACTCTAGGCTTTGATTTTTTTTTTCTGCTGTTTTTTTTCTATTTATTTATTTGATCCAATCTTTATTTTGTTCTTCTTTCTGCTAATTTTGGGTTTAGTTTGTTTTCTTTTTTCAGTTTCCTTGAGGTATAAAGTTAGGTTGCTGATTTGATAATTTTCTTCTCTTTTTTTTTTAATGTAAATGTTTACTGGTATAAAATTCCCTCTTTGCATGGCTTTTTGCTACGTATCATAAGTTTTTGTATATGTTTTTCTGTTTTCTTTTGTTTCTGGATTTTTTTTCTGAATTTCCTTGTGATTTCTTCTTTCAACCATTGGTTGTATAGTGGTGAGTTATTTGATTGCCACACATTTGTGTATTTTCCTGGTTTTTTTTTTGTTGTTGTTGTTTGTTTTTTTTTCTGATATTGACTTCTAGTTTCATTTTGTTGTGGTTAGAGAAGATAGTCTTCTTAAATTCATTGGTGGGTGGCACTGGCTCACGCCTGTAATCCCAGCACTTTGGGAGGCTTAGGTGGGCAGATCACTTGACTTCAGGTGTTCAAGACCCATCTCAGCAACATGATGAAATCCTGTCTTTACTAAAAATACAGAAAAAACTAGCTGGGCATTGTGGTGCATCCCTATAGTCCCATCTACTCAGGAGTCTGAGGTGGAAGGATTGATTGAGCCAAGGAGATCGAGGCTGCAGTGAACATTGTGCCACTTGGGCGACAGAGTGAGAACCTGTCTTAAAAAAAAATTGTTGAGACCTTATGGGGCCTAACCTGTGGTCTGTCTTGGAGAATGTTCCATGTGCTCTTGAGAAGAATGTGTATTCTGCTGCTGTTGGGATCAGTGTTCTTTATGTCTGTTGGGTCCACTTTATTATAGTGTAAAGTCCATTGTTTCCTTATTGATCTTCTGTTTGATCGTTCTATCCATAACTCAAAGTGGAATATTGAAGTCTTCTACTATTACTGAGGTAGTGTTTGTTTCTTCTTTCAGTTTTGTCAGTGTTGACTTCGTATATCTGAGAGCTCTATTATTAGGTGCATCTTTATTTAGAATTGTTACGTCTTTTCAGAGATTTGACCCTTTTATTATTATATAATGTCCTTCTTTGTCTCTTGTGTCAGTTTTTGTTTTAAAGTTTTATTTTGTCTACGTATGGTCACCCTTGTTTTCTTTCGGTTCTGGATTGCATGAATTATCTTTTTTTCATTCTTTCACTTTTAACCTATGTATGTCTTTTGATGTAAAGTAAATTTTTTGTAAATAGTGTATTAATGGATCTCATTTAAAAAATTTCATTTGGCCTAACTGTCTTTTAATTGAGATGTTTGACCCATTTACATTTTTAGTGATTACTGATACAGAAGGACTTACTATTGCCATTTACTTGATTATTCTTGTATGTCTTAGATTTTTTTGTCTGTCTTTTCCTCTCTTGCTGCTTTCTTTTGTGTTTTGTTGATTTTTTAAAATAGTGACGTACTTTGATTTCCTTTCCATTTCCTTTTGTGTATATTCAATAGATATTCATTTTATAGTTATGTTTACAATTACATATCTTAAAGTTATAACAATCTATTTAAAGCTGATTACTTCAATGACATAAAATCTCTACTCCTTTACATCTCTGCCTCCCCTGCACTTTATCAATGACACCAGTGACCTCTTTTTATATTGCATATACATTAATTTAGATTTATAGTTACTGTTTATGCCTTTAGTCTTTAAGAAGTGATTTTATGTGATTAAAAGATTTAAAAGGAGTACCAGATTTTAAAGAGATTCATGCACCTGCATTACTTTACTACAGGAGTCTATATTTATCTGGATATTTACCTTTACCAGGGAGTTATGTGTATTTATATGGTGCCTTATTGCTGCTTATTCACCTTTCACTTCAACTTGAAAAATTTCCTTCAGCAGGAAGGAACTCACTCACAGTGATGAACTCACTCAGCTTTTGTTTATCTGGGAAAGTCTTAATTTCTTCTTCCTTTTTTTTTTTTTTTTTTCCCCCGAGATGGAGTTTTGCTATGTTGCCAGGCTGGAGTGCAATGGCACAGTCTTGGCTTGCTGCAACCTCCACCTCCTGGATTCAAGCAATTCTCCTGCCTCAGCCTCCTGAGTAGCTGGGATTACAGGCATCCGCCATGATGCAAGCTAATTTTTGTATTTTTAGTAGAGATGGGTTTTACCATGTTGTTCAGGCTGGTCTCAAACTCCTGACCTCAGGTGATCCACCTGCCTTGGCCTCCCAAAGTGCTGGGGTTACAGGTGTGAGCCACTGCACCTAGACTTTTTTACTTTTGAATACAGTTTTGCCAGGTATAGTATTCTTGGTTGGCCGGTTTTTGTTTTGTATGTTTTAACACATTATTCCACTGTCTTCTAGCCTACAAGGTTTCTGCTAGGAAATCTGCTGATAATCTAATAGACGCTATCTTGTATATAATGGGTCACTTTCCTCTACTGCTTTCAGTATTCTTTGTGACTTTTAACAGCTTTATTATAATACTTGTTTGAACTTACCATTTATCTTCTCATATTTGGGAAGTTCAAATAGGTTCTTTTCTCCTTATAGAACTCTCATAATGTGTATGTTTCACTTTTTGCTGCCCATAAGTCCTTTAGAATATCATTATTTTTCTTTCATTCTTTTTTCTTTTTGCTCCTGTACCTCAGTAATTTCAAAAGTCCTATCTTTAAGTTCACCGATTCTTTCCTCTGCCTGCTCAGGTCTGCTGTTTAGTCCTTCTAGTGAAATTTTCAATTCAGGTTTTATATTCTTCAGTTTTAGAATTTCTCTTTGACTTTTTATAGTTTCTATCTCTGTTGATATTCTCATTTTGTTCATGTATCATATTCCTGATTTCATTTAGTTGTCTATCTCTGCTCTCTTTTAATTTACTGAGCAATCTTAATGACAATTATTTTGAATTACTGGGCAATTCATATGTCTTCATTTCTTTGGGGTTGGTTGCTGGAGTTTTAATTTGTTCCTTTGGATATGCCATATTTTCGTTTATTTGTATATCTTTTTTTTGTTTTGTTTTGGGATCTCGGCATTTGAAAAATCAGCCACCTCTCCCAGTCTTTGCAGTCTGGTTTCGTAGTGGGAAAATTTCATTCAGTTAGCCTAGTTAGAGACCCTGGAGCCCTTTTGAGCCTTTTCTGAGCATGTCTTCTGTGGGCTTGTGGGTGTAATCTAATTGAAGGTCCCTGGTTTCTACTCAGGAACTTTGCAGCCCTGTGACCTTGTCGGTATTGCAGTAAGCCACAGTGCTGGAGCTCCACCTAGTTTCTCTCTGTTGGTACTGCAGCCTCTGGTGCCAATTGATCGCCTTTGTTCTTAGCCCCCAACCTGGTTCCCTGTTCCTGTCACTGCTTTGATTTAGATGAGACAGAAATCAGTCCCTCTGGCTACACTTAAAAAAGTAAAGAACACAGGGTGTACACCAACTTCTTTTTTCTCAGGCAGAAGATGGGAATTGAGTGTTTCCTCATGCTGTACTGTGCCGAAGAGTGGGTCTCTGGCTGTTGAATGCTCAGATTTTAAATCTGTGTGTCGTGTGGGGAATGTGCCTTGTGTTTCTGGGTTTCCTTTTCTGTCTTTGTGATGTCACTCTAACACAACCCTCTTTTACAGTAGAGGATCATGCTATATGCACTGCCTGATACCTTTTTTTTGCTGTCACTTAACATATTGTTGATATGTACCTTTATATGCCAATAAATATAGATAGGTGTGATTTTTAATCCCTTCTCGAAGTACTGTTATTTAGATATCATAGTCAGCCTTCCTGTTGGTCATTTAGATTGTTTCTAATTGTTGAGCTTTTTCAAAGACAAATTCAATGAACATTGTTTTGTTTTGTTTTTCAGAGACAGTCTCACTGTCACACAGGCTGAAGTGCAGTGGCACAGTCATAGCTTATGGCAGCCTTAAACACTTGGGCTCAAGTGATCCTCCTGTTTTAGACTCCCAGGAAGCTAGGATTACAAGCACACACACCACACCTGGCTAATTTTTGTATTTCTGTTTTGGTAGAGATGGGGGTATCACTGTGTTGCCCAGGCTGGTCTTGAATTCCTGGCCTCGAATGATCCTGCTGCCTCTGCCTCCCAAAGAGCTGTGATTACAGGTTTGAGCCACTGGCATCAGTGAACACTTTTTTTTTTTTTTTTTTTTTTTGAGACAGGGTCTTCCTCTGTTGCCCAGGCTGAGTGCAGTTGCAAACATACTTCCACTGCTTGCTGCATCCTTGACCTGGGTCAAGTGATCCTCCCACCTCAGTCTCCTGTGTGCCTGGGACCACAGGCATGCACCACCATGCCTGGCTAATTTTCTCTTTTTTACTTTTTGTAAAAACAGGGTCTTACTTTGTTGCTCAGGCTTGGAACATAATTATTATTATTGTTTGAGAAATCGTGTCCCTCTTGCCCAGTCTGGACTGCAATGGTGTGATCTTTGCTCACTGCAACCTCTGCCTCCTGGGTTCAAGTGATTCTCCTGCCTTAGCCTCCCAAGTAGCTGAGATTACAGGTGCCTGCCACCATGCCTGGCTGACTTTTTATATTTTTAGTGGAGACAGGGTTTCACCATGTTGGCCAGTCTGGTCTGGAACTTCTGACCTTAAGTGATCCGCACACCTCAGCCTCGCACAGTGCTGGGATTATAGGCGTGAGCCTCCGTGCCTGGCCTGAACAGTCTTAAAATATCACATTTGCCCAAAAATTATGCCTCAGGAAAGAGTAAAATTTTTTATATTCAAGTCTTCACGTGCTCATTATGTGGAATTCTCTCAGTGAGTTCATTGTCATCTACAAGTATCAGTGGGAAAAACATATGAGCCTAAAAAGTTCTCAGTTAATGCTAGTTTTAAATGTTCATACAGGATAGATTTTACATGGGACATTTTGGTGAAGACTAGGATGAGAGGTGATGCAGCAAAGACATTTATTCCAGACTTGATAATTATGCCCTCGGGATGTGACTCCACAGTTGCATGTTTTGGGAATGTATCACACCCACAACTCTTAAATAATGCTTTCCAAAAGGCAGTAGAGCCAGGGGTTACTTTGTAATTGTCACAGACATACACCTCAGAGGAAAGGGAGATGCTGTTGCTTTGAATGGAGTTTCCACCAACAGCATCATACAGTTTCATAAAGTGCTTTATCGCAAACAACTCTGAGTTGAACACGGTGCCTTCTGGAAGACTGATAGATGATGCAGGCACTTCACAGGTGGTACTGAGTAATTCTTACTGTAGCACATAAGAAGGTGTGTTATGGGCCTGGCGCGGTGGCTCATGCCTGTAATTCTAGCACTTTGGGAGGCCGAGGTAGGTGGATCACCTGAGGTCAAGAGTTCAAGACCAGCCTGGCCAATACGGTGAAACCTCATCTCTACTAAAAGTACCAAAAAAATTAACTGGGTGTGATGCCATGTGCTTGTAGTCCCAGCTACTTGGGGAGGGTAAGGCAGGAGAATTGCTTGAACCCAGGGGGCAGAGGTTGCAGTGAGCCAAGATTGTGCCACTGCATTTCAGCTTGGGTGACAAAGGGAGACTCCATCTCAAAAAAAAAAAGGAAAAAAAAAGCCACAAACCACGTTACATCAGATGGTCCCACCTCCAGCCATGCTGAGAGTAATTGGTGGGTTCTGTATTGCCTGCCTCATTGCTGCATTATAAATTTAGCTCCCCAGCAGCTGTTCCACTTAAGGTTTCAGCATCCATTGATTATTTTTCCCTAGGTCAGTTATTTCATTAGCAGTTTCCAAGTGGTGCTTTCCTAATTCTGTAATTGCTAATGCTCTTAGCTTAGTTCTAAATGCTATGTTGAGTTCTTCTATAAAGAATTTTTCTTCCTTAACTATTAGATTACCTTGAAAAATGGTTCTTAAAGAAAAGGTAGAGTAAATGCTTGATTTCACTCTCTTAGCAATTTTTAGAGTTGGTGCCTTAGCAATCTACAGTGGTGGCTGTTTTAAAAGTATTATTGTTACTTGTTGGGTGTACTATGTTCACTATTTGGGTGATGGGTTTAGTAGAAGCCCAAACCCCAGCATTATGCAGTATATCCATGTAACAGACCTGCGCATGTACCCCCTGAACCTTAAAAACAATGTATCATTATGAACTCATGGATATTTAAAATACATTTGATTTGGTTGGGCGCGGTGGCTCACACCTGTAATCCCAGCACTTTGGGAGGCCGAGGTGGGCGGATCACGAGGTCAAGAGATCGAGACCATCCTGGCCAACATGGTGAAACCCCGTCTCTACTAAAAATACAAAAATTAGCAGGGCATGGTGGCGCATGCCTGTAATCCCAGCTACTCAGGAGGCTGAGGCAGGAGAATTGCCTGGACCCAGGAGGCGGAGGTTGCTGTGAGCCGAGATCGCGCCATTGCACTCCAGCCTGCGGAACAAGAGCGAAACTTCGTCTCAAAAAAAAAAAAAAAAAAAAAAATACAATTAGCTGGGTGTGGTGGTGCATGCCTATAGTCCCAGCTACTTGGGAGACTGAGGCAGGAGAATTGCTTGAACCCAGGAGGCAGAGATTGCAGTGAGCTGAGATCGTGCCACTGCACTCCAGCCTGGCGCCTGGCAACAGAGTGAGACTCTGTCTCAAAAAAAAAAAAATTTGATTTGCCTCAATCCATTGCAATCATTATTGTTATTGATGCTTTCATTGGTACATCATAATCCAGTGGGAACCCCTTCAAATTGGCTTTTATATCCTTCCTACGTAAGTCCAGCAATCTTTTTTTGGGCTCAAGTGATCCTCCTGCCTCAGCCTTCTGAGTAGCTAGGACTGCAGGTACCCACAAACATGCCCAGCTAGCTTTTTTATTTTTTGTAGAGATGAGGTCTTGCTATGTTGCCTAGGCTCATCTTGAACTCCTGGGCAACTCAAGCCATGCACCTGCTTTGGCCCCCCGAAGTGCTGGGATTACAGGTGTGAGCCACTGTGCCTAGGCACAGTGCCTAGCCTCAGTAATCTTGACTGATTCTTTGACGATTAGCACATCTTGCACATTTCCTATCCCAGATCTAGAATTGATCATTTCTCTGAGGAGCTCTGTTCCTCTTCAAGGTGTGTGGTATGTAGGAACACGATCTGGGCGCTTAAAGATGCTCATTGTTATTGTGTTGTTTTTGCTTCTAGGACTTTCTGCAAAAAAAAGCATATTTTATTTTACAGAGGAAAAAAATCACAAGTTTGTATAGATATTTCCAATTCAAACTGGATTAAGATGTAAGATTTTAGGGTTATAATAAAATTATATGGTTTTTACTTAGCTTTTTGAATTTCTACATGTATTTATTTTCTTTTATATCAAAGGCCTTGGTTTTTAATGTCCCAATAATATAATTTTATTCTATAATATACCTAAAATAGCTTCAAAATATCAATACCATTATCACTACTAGCAATAAGACTACTAAATACAGTTTAAACTTTTTCTGTGCTTTCTCTCCCATAGACTGTATCCTGATATCCTCCTCTCTTTTTCCCCCTCCCTCCCCATAACTCCTGCTGTGATAAGACCTTTATCTTGTTCTCTTTCTGCCCCATCCACTCTCATGTCAACATCTTTCCTGCTGTTTACTTGAAAATGATATTCTCGTTTTCCTCGTTGTTGTTTTTCATAGTAAATGAGTGGTTTAGTTGACTTACAGTGTATGTCTTCCATTTTATTTTCTTCACTTTCTTTTAGTAATATCTAGTTTTATATTTTTATTTTTCTTACCATTGTTTTCTCGATTTTCATGATAAAAGTGTGCTTTTATCCATTTTTCCGTAATAATGTCCTTCTATCAATACCTTTCCTTCTCGTTTTGATGTATTAATATGATCGTTCAATTTTCTCTAGCTTGAAGATGATATTATTGTCAAGCAGAATTATTTTAATACCATAAAAAACTTTGCACTTCAACTTTCTTCCGAGGAATGGATGATTCTAGAGTTTTCCCAGCTGGGCTTCATCGGTAAGAAAAGTGTCACACTTAGCTACTTTTCAGAAATAACTGTGACTCTCAGAATCTAAAACAAAGTACTTATTTGTCCTAAAGTTATTTTTTTCCTGTGGAAATGGATTGTTTTTGAGAAAACTTAACTTAGGTAAGCCTCTTTGTATGACCTGATGAAAGTCAACCCAAGGTAGAATTTGGAGATGGTTCTAAGATGGTTGTATGTACTCTAGAGTTCTTCACAGTGCCAACCATGGTCCTGGTGAGCACGTTTGATTTTTTCTTCTCTGACATTTCCAGCCCCTTTGTTAGCATAAGATTGGGGTTCTTTTAAAAAGAGTGCCACAAAGGTTTTTTTCATATAAATTCCTAGTATTTTCATGCAATGCATTTGGTAATTAATTTTCATTCTTTTTTTTTCTTAACTAGTTGGGGCACTCGTTTCTAAATGTTTTTTGGTTAATGTTTCAAATTTAGCCAGCTATAAAGAATATGTTTAAAGTTGGCCAGGTGTAGTGGGAGGCCTAGGCGGGCAGATCACTTCAGGTCCGGAGTTCAAGACCAGCCTGGCCAACATGGTGAAACCCTGTCTCCACTAAAAATATAAAAGTTAGCTTGGTGTGGTGGCAGGTGTCTGTAATCCCAGCTACCCAGGAGGCTGAAGCAAGAGAAAAATAATATGTTTAAAGTTGAAGAACTGAAGAAAATTTACAAGGCTCAAATAATACTCAGAGGAGGATAGCATTTCATCTCCTATGGTACTTTTTAAAACTTTAAGCTTTAGAGGCTGGATCTTTTACCTTCTTGATCATTTAACTCAAAACCTAAGAGTCAAAAACTATCTTTATTTGTGAATTCTTTGGTGAAGAGAAAATTAGGAGTCCTTGTTTTTTGCATTTATTGATTTAGATGAAAATTTTTTACCTAAACCTCTCAGTGTTCCTTTTTTTAATGGGAAGAATCTTAGTAAGATAAGAAAGGAAAATCTCTGACTTTCTTTTTGAATGCTTTGGGTCAGTAGGTATATGATAGATTATTATAATAATATCAGGAGTTCACTACATCTGTTTGCACCCAGGTGACAGCTCAAGAGAAAGTTTAGCTGAAGCAGCTTTAATTTTGATTATACAAGTGGATAAATTGTTTTTGATGACTTATAGTTGAAAGCACAAGCTTCAGTGTATGTAGTGGACAAGATTTCACAAATGTAAGCCATTTTGGTGTTTGGTTTCTTTACTGCAGCTATTAACTGGGAATATCTTTTCAGGTAAAATGTTTCAAGCGCCGGATCTTACACTGATTGTAGAATTTATATTCATGTTTTACAAGGAGAAACCCATTGATTGGCTCTTGGACCATATTCTTTGGGTGAAAGTCTGCAACCCTGAAAAAGATGCAGTAAGTTAATTCATCACCAGAGTGGAGGGAGTTTCTTTTCTGTATTTTGTGAAAATGACTTTTAGAGATTTTGCAAATAAATAGTTAAATAGATAGGTGATATAAAACTTCTTTCTGGAGCTGATAAAAAGTTCCTGTATTAGAAGGACTTTTAGATAGCAGTGGAAAATCCTGTAAAGCAGGAAGCTGTTGCAAGATGATAGACATTCTTTAAGTTGCTAATAAATGTTTCTAGTGTCTGTAGGCCCTGGTGGTTCACTAACTATTGGCTATAGATGTTGATCATATCTGTTCTTGCATGGAATGTCATTTCAGTTTGTTTTCTTCATATTTCCTGTTCGCTCTCTTTTTTCCATATATACTGGGGACAATATTAGACTCTTAACACATCTGGAAATGAGGAATAAAATAGAAGTAATATTTTACACCAGAACAATGACACGTTAATGTACCTTTCAGTGTGTTACTCAGAAAAAGCCAGTGTTCATAATAATATGCTTATCTTTGGGATGATTGTTGCAGTCAAGTAAGTGAATAGTAATTTTTGCTTTGATCATTCAGATAGCAAGTTATTGCCATAGAGATCTTATTATAAAGAGTAATTAGGCCAGGTGCAGCAGCTCGTACCTGTAATCCCAGCACCTTGGGAGGCTAAGACTGGAGGATCATTTGAGCCAAGGAGTTCAGGACCAGCCTGGGCAGCATATCAAGACCCATCTCTACAAATTAAAAAAAAAATTATAAAAAAATGAGTAATTAGTTATGTTTTCCTAGTCTGATTTGAATAGTGTCTCTGAAAAAAAAAATACAGCTTTTAATTTATTTGGTATAAGCACAAACAAAATATAAAAGTACCAAGTCTTATGAATGTCCATTTTGATGTGTAATGATAAGTATTATTATTATTATTATTATTTTTTTGAGACGGAGTTTCGCTCTTGTTACCCAGGCTGGAGTGCAATGGCGCGATCTCGGCTCACCGCAACCTCCGCCTCCTGGGTTCAGGCAATTCTCCTGCCTCAGCCTCCTGAGTAGCTGGGATTACAGGCACGCGCCACCATGCCCAGCTAATTTTTTGTAGCTTTAGTAGAGACGGGGTTTCACCATGTTGACCAGGATGGTCTCGATCTCTTGACCTCGTGATCCACCCGCCTCGGCCTCCCACAGTGCTGGGATTACAGGCTTGAGCCACCGCGCCCGGCCCAATGATAAGTATTATTATAAGAACATGTCATTATAGAGTTGACTTACCATTCATTGTAATCAATAAGCATTAGTTTGACTTCAAGACCATATAGCTCCTAGAATAGTTGGATCATCATACCTGCCAGCTAGTTTTTAGGATACTACCTTCTGGTGTCTGTAGGCTATCATTGCATTCTGTTTTAAAAAGACAAAAATTAACAACAACAACACATTCTTAGAGGAAATCATGGAATATAGCAAAACTGCAGAGTGTCTGTTTTCCAGCAATTAGTTGAACGTATAAATCGTTTTAAACAAATCATTTTTTTAAGATCTCAGTCCTTACATGTATTTTCACTGTGACTTATGGAAATTTTTATTGTAGGACACAAAAAAGTTAATGTCATCTTTAACCTCTTACAATACACTTGCATTCCATTCGTCCTGTGCAGTTTTATTTAATATGTGGTTAGGTTCTAAAATGAGCCTGTGAGGTGAAAAAATCTGATAGTAAGAATTAAAACTACAAAACCCTCTAAATCATCCATAAATTTGGCTCCACAAACTTTTGGATAATTTCGTCCATTCTTTGATCCTTCTATAGTCCATGTTTTTCTGTGGCCTGTAATTCTTCAGTTGCTTCCCCTGGAATGTCCAGGGCACTGTCATCACATCCGTGACAGTGGTCCATGGTCCCAGAAACCATTCGAGTCATTCACACGTTGTCTCGACGGGTTATCAGCCTGATTGGACCCTTCGGCCCGAGTCCTTCCGTTGCCCCAGGAGTGACAGGCTGAGTTCCAGACACTGTCTCTGTGGTTTTGCTCTCTCCTTACCCTCGTGCTCCTCAGTCTTCTCTCTCGCCTGCCCTTTGCCCTTCCTTTGATTCTTCCTCCCGTTCTTTCTCCTTCCACTTGAGTATTTGTGCAGAGAAAATACACTGTTTCACCTGTATTGTAGTCTCAGTAATAATGCCAGTGAAGTGAAACCTCTTGAGAAGTAGGCATTTTAGCACCCCGTATATTACTAGAAGTCTTCTAAAGTGTAAATTCCTTTCTCTCTCTCTCTCTCTCTCTCTGTCTCTCTCTCTCTCACTCTTCTTTTCTGTTTTGAGACAGAGTCTCGCCCTTGTTGCCCAGACTGGACTGCAGTGGTGCAGTCTCAGCTCCCTGCAGCCTCTGCCTCCCGGTTTCAAGCAATTCTCCTGCCTCAGCTTCCCCGGTAGCTGGGATTACAGGGCGCATGCCACCAAACCTGGCAGACTGTCACCATGCCTGGCTCAGTCTCGGCTCACTACAACCTCTGCCTCCCGAGTTCAAGCGATTCTCCTGCCTCAGCCTCCCAAGTAGCTGGGGGACTACAGGAGCACACCACCATGCCTAGATAATTTTGTATCTTTAGTAGAGACGGGGTTTCACCATGTTGGTCAGCATGGTCTCCATCTCCTGACCTCATGATCCACCCACCTTGGCCTCCCAAAGTTCTGGGATTATAGGTGTGACCCACCACACCAAGCCAAGTGTAAATTTCTTATAAAGATGTGTTTTTCAATTTTTTTTCAGCCCCAAACTTAACATAAGTCATTAAAAATGAAAAGTTTAAAAATATTTGTCAAGGTGGCCCTTGGTGTTGCACAGTCTTCACACACCAGGCCCATACATGAGGATAGGTTGTGATGGAACGTCTGGGCCATGAGGCACTGCGAGTTGAAACATAGGTGTCCTGTCCTGTGTTGACAGAGATTTTAATATTTTAATGTGGAGTTTTTAATATCGTTTACTTGCTTCTAGGCAAGTGATTGCCTCATGTTTTCAAATTGCTTTCATGCAACAAAATGTGCCACTTATAATTTGCAAGTTGTTCATTATATTATTGAATCAAAAATGGTTTGTATATTTGAACCAACCCGCTAGTCTATAGTTCGTGCATTTTAATATTAAAAGTCAAATGTTTATTGACATGTGTTGAAGGATGGTTGAAATTAAACCCTTCAGTCTTCCCTTAACTATGCATATTTTAAATTTCTGGATCATGGCTGTTTATCACTCAAGCAGCAAATCTATTAGTACCTCAAAGACCAGAAAAAAATGACTTGTAATTATGACTTGAAGTTGTTTTCTTTTCAAAAAAAAGTTTTTTGTGTTTTTTTGGTTTTTTTTGAGACAGAGTCTTGCTCTTTTGCCCAGGCTGGAGTGCAGTGGTACGATCTCAGCTCACTGCAGCCTCCACCTCCTGGGTTCATTAGATTCTCCTGCCTCAACCTCCCGAGTAGCTGGGATTATAGGTGTGCACCACCACACCTGGCTGATTTTTATATTTTTAGTAGAGATGGACGAGGTTTCAACCGTGGTGGCCAGGCTGGTCTCAAACTCCTGACCTCAGGTTATTTACCTACCTCAACCTCTCAACGTGCTGGATTACAGGCATGAGCCACCGCACCCGGCCCTTCTTTTCAATACTTTAATAAAGGACTTCTCATTTTCCAGGCGAGGGCAAGATTTCACTTTATTATGCAACACTAATGTGATTCTTTTTTTTTTTTTTTAATATTTAGAAACATTGTGATAGACAGAAAGCAAATCTGCGAATTCGCTTCAGACCTTCCCTTTTCCAACATGTTGGTCTGCACTCATCACTATCAGGAAAAATCCAAAAACTAACGGTTGGTGACTTAATTTTGTTTTCTCGTGAACTTACAACTTGTTATTTAAGGTGCAATTATTGTTTTTCTTCTTAAATAAGTGGTATATTATTTAATAGCATATATGTCTTTGCTCCCAGGATAAAGATTACATGAAACCGTTACTTCTTAAAATTCATGTAAACCCACCTGCGGAAGTATCTACTTCCTTGAAGGTCTACCAAGGGCATACGCTGGAGAAGACTTACATGGGGGAGGATTTCTTCTGGGCTATCACGCCGACAGCTGGAGACTACATCTTGTTTAAATTTGATAAACCAGTCAATGTAGAAAGGTTGGTGATTATTGAAATGTATGTGGTCTTTCAATTCAGACGTCTTATTCATAACGTGATTTATAATAGATTTTTGTGTGTGTGCATGACAGGGGACACAGGGGGTCCCAAGATGCCTGGCTGTAAATTACACGTAAAACAACTCCATAATAAAATGAATATGTTGTTTTCAGATGTAACACATTTGGTGAACTTCATTGGTATTTCTGGACTTACATCTGGTATAATTTTTTAATACTTTTATTTAGAACTGTCAAATTAGTGTTTATGTTTTTATCCTGGCATGTCCCTTGAAATTTGATCTGGAGCTAGTTAGCTAATTAGCCCAGCAATTTAGTTGAAATGATAAATTTGACTGAGTATGACTAGTCTTAGTCAATAGTTTTACAAATGCTAGATTATTTTCAATACACCATGGGGAAATTTATAACGCTTTTATGTTTTTGAGCATTTATGTTCATTTTACAAAATTTAGATCTTTCTTTCTCTCTCTCTCTCTCTCCTTTCTTTCTTCCTTCCTTTCTTCCTTTCCTTTCTTCCTCTTCCTCCCTCCCTCCCTCCCTTCCTTCCTTCCTTCCTTCCTTTTCTTTCTTTTTCTTTCTTTCTTTTCTTTCTTTCTTCCTTCTCTTACTCTGTCACCCAGGCTGAAGTGCAATGATACAATCTCAGCTCACTGCAAACTCTGTCTCCCAGGTTCAAGAGAGTCTCCTGCCTCAGCCTCCCAAGTAGCTGGGATTATAGATGCTTGCTACCATGCCTGGCTAATTTTTTTGTATTTTTAGTAGAGATGGGGTTTCATCATGTTGGCCAGGCTGGTCTCAAACTCCCGACCTCAGGTGATCCACCTGCCTTGGCCTTCCAGAGTGCTGGGATTACAGGTGTGAGCCACTATGTCTGGCCAATTTTTAATTTAATAGTCATGATTCCTCAGTCCTTCTTCAGTTTTGGGTGTGTTCCCCAGACTGGCCATGGCATGCTTAAAAGAACATAGTTCCTCACTCTGTGGTATTTCATTATAGATGTCCTGATGGGAGGGCCAATTTGATTTTTAGAATCTACCAGGAATTATTTTCAGTAATTCTGTTTGAGGTGTTCAAAGCAATGCAGAGCTGTGATATGATGTTACTAATTTTCTTTTGTTACTCTAAACTGGTTTCAAAGAGGAATTGAAGTTGTAAAAGTGTTCTAAGCAGTGGGAATACCACTGGAAGAACATGCAGAAATAGTTTTGAGTATTATTTTGCACTTGCATGAGCATTTGTTTTGCTGTTAAAGCTCATTTTTATACTGTTAATACTCTGCACTTTGAGGTATTGTTTACCACTCAGAGAGCCAGCATAGAATTAGAAAGAGCATAGATGTGTTTGGTTAAGTAAAATGATATTGCCACCCATTGGAATGCTGTAAGCAGTCATTAAAAATAATGACATAGGTTAATATGTATTGACATGAAAACTTTTTTAGATATACACTAAGTGGGGTAAAAAACAAATTATAACTTTATAGAATATCCTTGTAGATCATTTTATAGATCATAGCATTATATGTATATTATGATAGAATGTATAGCATTCTATATAGAGAGTATAGAATTATAGATTATAGAAGGGTTTTTTGAAATAATAAAAATATTTTACATATATTATGTACGTAGAACGAATCTACAAACAATCTATCAAACTGTCAGTAGAGGTGAGATAACAGGGATGATTTCATTTGGCTGGATACATCAATTTTTTGTGCTTTTTCCCTCAACAGTCAATTTCTTTTTCTTAATCTTTGACTTTTGAGAAAGTATAGTTTCACGTGCGGCTGTAAGAAGTAAAACTGAGAGATCCTATGTACCTATCACCCCACTTCCCCAAGGGTAGCAGCTTGCAGACTGTGGTTTTGACACCAGTATGTCAAGTTAAGGACCATTTCTATCACCTCAAGGATTCCCATATTACCCTTTTATAGCCACATCTACTGTCCTGCCGCTGTAACTGTATCATCACCATACTGTAACTGTCACTTGGCCGAGCCTTTTGAATGTGCAGGGGACTTTTTGTCAGTTCTCAGGAACTGAAGTCATGTGAGGTAGATGGGACCATCTGCATTATACAGAAGAAACTCAGGCTGAGAAAGCTGAGGAAACTCGTGAAAGGTGAAAATGCTACTAATCCTGAGAGACCCAAGATTTGGACCCAGGTCTTTCTGACTCCTAAGCCTAAACTTTTAACCATGCCACTGAACTAAAGTTAGGTTTAGATTCAGACATGTTTTGCCTGTCTTATCTTGTTTTCACCCTTTCCCTTACACTGACAAATATGCATACTTATTAGTTTGTTTTCAGAGTATCAAAACAGAGTATTATACTCATACCCAGAGAGTGTTTTAGATCTGTCACCATATATCAATAATTAGTCATTCTTCAAATGCTTCTTGAATGTTAACAAATGGAATTACTCAGATATTTTAAGAGGTTAATTACTTTTAGTTGACTAACATTAAAGTTATTTGTATTGAATAGAACTAGTCTGTTTCTTTTATTATAATTATTACTATTATTATTATTATTTAGAGATAAGGTCTTACTCTGTTACCCAGGCCGGAATGCAGTGGCGTGATCACTGCTTACTGTAGCTTAGAGCTTCTAGGCTAAGCTGAAGCGGCCGTTGCACCTGAGCTTCCTGAGTAGCTGGGACTACAGATGCAAACCACCATGCCCAGCTAGTTTTTTTATTTTTTATAGTGGTGAGGTCTTACTGTGTTGTCCAGGCTTGTCTTGAGCCCCTGGCCTCAAGTGATCCTCCCTCCTCGGCCTCCCAAGGTGCTGGGATTTCAGGTGTGTGAGCCACCACGCCCAACCTAGAACTAGTCTTTGGACTTGTCATGACTACTCGTTTTCCTAGGGAAGTTTTTTTCAGACGCAAGATACAGCAGTATTATATAGGTGTTACAGTTTTGACTATTCCGGGGAAGAGGTTTAAATATTTAAAGCATTATAGACAGTGACATAAAACTGTCATCCTTTTTGAAAAAAATCTAGGTACATTATTATGTTAAGCAGCGACATAATTGTTTCTGACAGAAGGAATGAACTTATCACCTAGGGGTCATGCCCTTAAGTTTTTAAATTCCCTACAACCATTCAGAACACACACTGTGCAGTTATTACAAGCTCTAGTGTTGTCAACTTTGCTTGCTTAGAGTCTTGTTTGGAAAGGCGGACTCTGAGGTAAGGTCATTTTCTTGAATCTTTATAAAATCTAGCCCAACTTGTGTTTTTATTTTGACGTTTGTATTTTCAGTTACCTGTTCCATAGCGGCAACCAAGAACATCCTGGAGACATTCTGCTAAACACAACCGTGGAAGTTTTGCCTTTTAAGGTATGACTGCTTTTTCATCTTACCTTTCCCTAACAACTAATACTGGTAGACTCAGCTTGAAGCTTTTCTTATTTTTAAGGGGAAAGAAAATTAGCATAATTTACAGGACTCATTGATGAATAATATTAATTTTTTGAAATATGAAGCACCTATATATTGATGAGCACATTTACCCATTCATAGAAAGAGCCTTCATTTTGTTTTATCTTGGAAAATAACAGGCCAGACGTGGTGGCTCACGTCTGTAATCCCAGCACTTTGGGAGGCTGAGGCGGGTAGATCATTTGCGGTCAGGAGTTTGAAACCAGTCTGACCAACGTGGCAAAACCCCATCTCTACTAAAAATACAAAAATTAGCCAGGCATGGTGGCATATGCCTGTAGTCCCAGCTACTCAGGAGGCTGAGGCACGAGAATCACTTGAACCTCGAAGGTGGAGGTTGCAAATAACATTAACATTTCTACTAGGAAAATAAATGAATAATTGTTTTCTTTAGTGTTTTCTTGCTATTTGTATTTTGAGTCCCAAAATCTATGTTTTTAATGCTGGTTAATTGATATACAGTTTAATTCTTTGGTCGCTAAGGAATCCTTAGATTTCTTTCAAGTTAACTACACAGTTCTTCTATAGATAGTTTTAATAGAAAATACTGTTCTACTTAATTGATTTAATGTTTTATTTCCAACCACCAATATATTATATACCAATTCAAATGATGGCTTAAGAAAACTTCTTTTATTATTAATATAGTGTGTTTTTTAAAGTTCAAGACTGAGATGATATTTCTCTTTTTAGGAATAGCTGTGTCACAGATGCCACTTCATATATACTAAGATATATTGATAACTTAGGATACATAGAAGGAATTATTTTTGAAATTAATGCTTTTGTTTTATTTTAGAGTGAAGGTTTGGAAATAAGCAAAGAAACCAAAGACAAACGATTAGAAGATGGCTATTTCAGAATAGGTAATATCTACTTTAGTAAAATGCCCTTTATTTTTCTGGACTTACTCCCAAAGTACTTTTAAATTCTTTTCAGATGTTAAGCAACTTAAGGATTACAATTACCAGTGTCCTCCAGGTTTTATGTGTGCTGTGTTTTAATACTTGCTTTGCTTTTATTATTTGACTCAAGTAGGATTTCAGATCACATATTGCTTCACTCACTAGCTCCTTCTTCTCAGTCTGCCATACTCTTGTTGATGCTGCCTGATAGAGAGTCTGCCTGTATTGCCTTCTACTGGACGAGTTTAGCTCCTCTCCTGTCTCAGCTCACATCCACAGGCCGGAATCTGTGCTTTGGGCCCCTTCCCCACTCCCGAGGTCACATCTTTGTTGAGATGTCCGCTAGCATATCCTTATACCTGGTGGCCACATAGCCGCCTACCGTGAGCTTCTGTAACACACACATTTCTTTATTGGTCACCACAGTTTTTGCTGTCCCTATCCATCTAGTCACCTAAGCCTAACCTGAGGAGTCACCCTGATCATCCTCTTCTTACTATCCTTTAGCACAAATTGGTCAGTTTTTCATCTGAAAGCCTTGGGTCACCCTATCTGTAAGGGGGCCATCTGCCCTGTGCCTCTGATTCAGAGCCAGAGGAGAGACTGCATCTCCCTGTGGCCTTCCTGTGGCTTTCTAGGGCCACTGCAGTTACTTCTCTGAAATGTAACTAGAACGCTGTTGACCTGGGTGAAGACCTTAGTGACTTTCATTATCTGATCCCTTAGCTCCCACTCACCTTCACATCTGTGACTTTCTCTTGCTCTTTCTTTCCAGTCCTGAGACTGTTGTTCGTCTGATGAAGGCCTCATACTCTCTGGGCAGCCACATCTCTAGCCATTTTCTCTACCTGAAATGATTGGTCGATTGTTTTCCCTTCTAATAAATGCTTTTTCATCCTTAATCTGCCAGTTTAGTGGCCCCTCTTCCCTGCTCTTCCGACCCCTCTGCGTGTGCCTTTGCTGTGTGGTTGTGTTGTTTCATAGCTCTGCTCCGTAGGCTCCCCCTGGAGAGGGAGAGGTCATGTCTCTCCTGCATGTTCTGTAGTTAACACAGGGCCTGTCACTTGGTAGACATTGACTTAAATAACTACATTTTCTTTTGCTTAAAACAAATGAATGCTTCTCTTAGTATTAGGCAAGAACGAATATTGGTAAAATTATATTGTAGGTGTACAGGATAGATATATTTTTAAGCCCTTTCTAGAGCAGTTTTACCTTTGGTAAGTGTCATTCAGCCATTGCTAAGAGAGTTGCACAATAACACTGGCTACTTTCTTTATAGCTTTGGGGGATGAATGAATTTTATATTTGGGCTGCATCTTAGCCCATCTCTAGAAATATATACAAAATCAGCTGAGTATCCAAGACATTTATTACCACTATTGTCACTTACTAAATTTATGAGAATGGTGTATTCTAGATTACAAAAGTAGCATAGGAAATAGAGACATCTATATTAAATATCTCTATAGTAATTTGAAGAAAATTACCATCTAAAATATCAACTCATATTCTTAGAACCAGAAGAGAACTTACGGATCATTAGCCTAGGACCTTGTGTAGTCAAGCAGAACAGAGCTGATCTTTTTCAACTGAATGTATAAAATTCTACTTCTAAGAAGTCTTCTTTATGGAATTGTGTGTGACGAGCTTCCTTGACCCTCTCGGTAGCATAAAAAAATTATAACTGGTGAAAATTATTTTTAAAAAAATATTTTAAACCTGTGAAGATTGTTCTAAGTGCTCTTAGGAAATGGAGCAACATTTATTCATGAGAGCCTCCAAGCTGTGGGGAGGGAGCCAGGACCAGCCCCATCACCCACACCACCCCAGCTCAGGGAGACAGAAGCTCTGCCCTGTGCAGGTACAGCCAGGAACATTGGACTCTCCTGCCAGCTTCTAGTCTAGGGCTGTGGCATCTCCCTAGGAAGGTCAGGCTGTCAGCATCTGTCCTTACCCTCAACTCTTTTGCAGAAGCTCCGTTACAGACAAGAGCAGCTGATGAATCTGGGCAGAATCTCTACCCTAGGCACAGCAGGGTGAGAATACCTGGCCCTGATCACCATTGCCCCAGCTCACTGCCCCAGTCCAGTAGTAGAAGCCAGCCAAGAAAACCAAGGGCTTGGTCGGGCATCGTGGCTCACACCTGTAATCCAAGCACTTTGGGGGTCAAGGTAGGCAGATTGCCAGGTCAAGAGTTCAAGACCAGCCCAGCCAGCATGGTGAAACCCATCTCTACTAAAAATACAAAAATTAGCCAGGTGTGGTGGTGCGTGCCTGTATTCCCAGCTATTTGGCAGGCTGAGGCTGGAGAATTGCTTGAACCTGACCCGGGAGGTAGAGGTTGCAGTGAGCCAAGATTGCTCCATTGCACTCCAGCCTGGATGACTCTGTCTCAAACCAAACAAAACAAAAACCAAGGGCTACTGCCATGACCAGCGCTCTGATCTTGAAGCAGGGTATCACTCCAAGAGAAGGGGCTGCTGTCCTTGCCAAGGGCCCAGAACAGTGGTGCAGAGATTTTGCCCAATGGAGAAGCAGGCCAGAAGAACAGAGTTCTCCCTAAAAAGAGGATATGGATCTCCCTAAAGAGGAGTTGACTTGAACCAGAATGTGGAGAAGTTTAAGCCTAAGGGTGCTGTGAAATAGAATGGAAATTTTAGTGTTAAGAAATTGGAGATGGTAGATACAGATAAGCAAATCTGGATACCAGTGTAAAGTTTAACAGGGAGAACTAGGGAAGGAGATGTTAGTAAGAGCCCACTTGGCGTGCAAACAAGCTGCTGTTTAAAATGGACAGAGTTCCCTTTTCTACCTTTCAGGGCATGTGATGGGAGTGTGGCTCACTTCTTTGGTGCCCTGCTGCCTCAAACTCATGGGGGAGCATGCAGACGGGCAGGCTGTGGGGCTCTGACTGCGTGGCAGTGTCTAGGGGTGAACGGTTTACAGCTCCTGAGGCTCCAGTGGGCGTGTGTTTTAGGGTGCTCTTTTAGTTTAGCTGTCCATAGGTAGCTTGTGTGTGTTTGCTCAATTAGAACCCCCTTTCTTTCTTTTTTTCTTTTTTTTTTTTTTTTTGAGCAGAGTGTCTGCCCAGGCTGGAGTGCAGTCGTGCGATCACAGCTCAAAGCAACCTCCACCTCCCAGGTTCAAGTAATTCTCCTGCCTCAGCCTCCCAAGTAGCTGGGATTGCAGGCACGAGCCACCACACCTGGCTAATTTTTTAATTTTTGGTAGAGATGGGGTTTTGCCATGTTGGCCAGGGTGGTCTCCACCTCCTGACCTCAGGTGATCCGGCCACCTCCGCCTCCCAAAGTGCTGGGATGACAGGCATGAGCCACCATGCTCGGCCATTAGACCCCACTGCCTTATCACAAGGACAGAGGCTTTATGTATTCCAGGGTTTCTTGCCTTGGTGTACCAGAAGAATCGGATTGCTTATGGGCTTGGAGAATGAGTGCAAAGTTTTCTTGAGTGGAAGTAGCTCTCAGCAGATGGGGGAGCCAGAAGGGAGATTGTTTTCCCCTGAGCGGGGCTGTTCAGCGGCCTGGGCACTCCTCCAGCTGCCCAGGCCAAATTCTGGGTCGCGCCACCTGCCGATGGCCTGCCAGCATCTGTCGGTGTGCTCTTCCGCCGGTGGGCTCCTTTCCCCTCCATGTCCAGCTGCTTGTGTGCCTGACTGCTACGGTCTCAGGGCTTTTATAGGCACAGTATGGGTACATCACAGGCCAGGCTGGTCTTGGGAAATGTAACATTTGGGCAGGAGAACAGAAATGCCTGTCCTCACCTATGTCTGGGTGCAGGCCCCAGGCAGGAGCCCTAGCCAGGGACCATGCCCTTCTCTACCCAGCACTTCCCTGCCCACCTTCCATATCGCCAAGACTGGTCCTGAAGAGGGGCCTGAATTTAAATTGGATCAGACCATGTAGCAACTTATGTGTGAAGGCATTGATGAGAACAGTAGACCATTAGCTGGCCATCAGTGGAGACTCAAGGGTTGATGGGGTGGGAGTTAGAAGAGTAGAGTGTGATAGCTAAGAATGGTCGTGTAGAAGAAATACTAGTTCTGTTTCAGTGGGTTAAAGCTGTGAGGAGGCAGAAGAACGTTCTGCAGAGACCCGGTGGGAGAAGGAAAGGGCCACTGGACAGGCATGGCAGGCGGAGGGGACCCACAACTGCCCTTGACCATTCCTGTCAGTGCCGGGGTCAGGGATTCTCGTCACTCTGGTAATTTCCTTCACCTTTTCTCTTCTTTTGTGTCTTTTAATACTTACCTTCCAGACCCCTGGGTTAAGGACAAAGGTTAAATTTGTTGTTTGAAAAGACAGTGCACACACACACACACACACACACACACACAGTGACAAATACAGATTTAAAAGGGTAGTTGTAGGTCTTCTTCCCTTTTCTTCCCCCTCCTACCCAGTGCTTCTGAGAGGCAGTTTCTGTAATGATTTGTGTCCTTTCAGAAGTATTCTATGCATAAATAACAACATATGGATGTGTTCTTTAAGAACACATCACACACAAATGATATGCCCTACAACCCAGGTTTACATCTCATTTTTTTCATGGAACAAAATGCCTGTGTACATATAGAACACGAACATTTAAAAATATTTTAATAATAATAATATGTTGAGTACCTGTATCCACCCTCCAACTTCAGATGTGCTAATTCAGCTGTCCTTCCCTAATTGCTTCTCTTCTTCTACCTAAAGATAGTCGCCATCCTGAATGTTATGGTTACCATTTCCATTTCCATTTTTACTATGTATGGAATATATTCCTAAGCAATGCACAGTGGTATTTTGCTTGTTTTCACATTTGATATAAATATCTTTCTGTAGTCTACAATTTGGTTATTTTTCCCCTCACAATTGTGAGATTTCATCCATGTGGGTGTGTGTTTATGGCTCATTCTTTTTCACTCCTGTATGGATGGATTCCGTGGATATGTCCTCTGTTTGGTCATAAAGTTTGTTTCCATGTTTTTTGCTCTGATAAACATGGCTGCTTTGAACACTTATGCACATGTATGAGTGTTTCTCTACAATATAGACTTAGGAATTGAAGTAAATCTTCGACTTTTTATTTATTATTTTTCTTTATTATTATTATTTAGATGAAGTCCCGCTCTGTCACCCAGGCTGGAGTCCAGTGGCACAATCTCGGCTCACTGCAGCCTCTGTCTCCTGGTTTCAAGCGGTTCCCCCTGCCTTAGCCTCCTAAGTAGCTGGGGTTACAAGTGCAGGCCACCATGCCAGGCTAATTTTTGTATTTTTAGTAGAAATGGGTTTTCGCCATGTTGGCTAGGCTGGTCCCGAACTCCTGACCTTAGATAATCCACCTACCTCACCCTCCCAAAGTGCCGGGATTACAGGCATGAGCCACTGTGCCCAGCCTATTCTTTTTATTTTTTCTTCAGTCTTTTAATTGGCTGCCTAGAATTTCCTTGTATTAGCATATTGTAATTTATTTGGCCAGGCTCCTAGTGATGGATACCTAGGTTGTTTGCAATCTTTTGCTGCATTGTATGTACTGTTCTTATACATGAGAGAGGATAAAATTGCTGGGCTAGGGTGTTTTGATGAAGCTAGTTATCATTTGGTAATTATTTTTCTAATGAAACGAGCTCATCAGGTGATGATGCATTGGTTAAAATGTTCCAAGTTTCGCAATCTTTTTAAGCTCTGAATCCTCTGCCTAATTCAATATTCAATAATAATTTTTCATAGCACCTACCTGCTACCCCAGTCCAGCACCAAGTATGGACAAACTTCTGTGAAATAAGTTTATTAATAATTTTTTAATAAAACCATTTCTTTGGAAGCTCATAGATTCAACATTTACTATATAAATTAGTACAAGCCTTCTTTGCTGTGGTTTTCAATTTGAATGTACCTTATCTTACTACTAATCTATTAACTATGCTGTGAGACTGGAGAATGGATTAGCATGCATAATGTAATAGCATGTGGTCAGCAAACTATGGCCCATGGGCCACATCTGGCACACCTCCTGTTTTTGAACAGGATACCACCACCTGGTTTTGAAAGGATACCACCTGTGATCTAAGAACATTTTAAAAGTCTTTTTCTTTTTTTCTTTTTAAATGGTAAAAAAGTAAAAAGAATACATTGTGATGTGTGAAATTATATAGAATTCAAATTTCCATGTCTATAAATAAAGATTTTTTGGAAGACAGTCATGCTCATTTTCTAATGTAGTGTGTGTGTGCTTTTACTCTCCAACAGCAGAGATGAGTGAGTAGGGACAGTAGAGACCGAGGTCATGCTCTCCCGGCCTTGCTCTGCTGCTTAGAGTACAAATCACAATGATGTGTTTAAAATTGGACAGTATTGTGCGAGCCACACATATCACCGTACTGTGACTTTAAAAAAAAATTACAAGCACTTACCTATCATCAAAACAAGAAAAGTAGATTTTGAGCATTGTGGCTTTTAATAGAGTAGAATACGGGTTATTTTACAAAATTGTTGGCAAGTCATTGTGGTTATTGGGCAATTATGTGAGAGCTGTACATTACTAGGCTAAATTCAACAATATTCCCAACTCACAGGAAAGCAATGGTCAGAAAAGTTAGAAAGTTTAGAATGGAATATTGCATCACAGCAGAATTTCTTCACTAAAAATAAAAATGAGGCTGTCCCCAAAGTGATATTTCAAGTGGCTCGTTTTTTAGCTAAGCAAGAAAAACTGCTTACCAATTGTGAGTTAATTAAATCGTGTTTAATAGCAGCAGCCAAAGTAATGTATGCAGAGAAAATAAACTTATTTAGGATAGGAGGCTTTCAGCAATAACAAGTGCTTTAAGATTTAAGGACATTGGAAGCAAAATCAATAGTCAAAAAGCAAAGGAGATGATTTTGGGTGTTTTTCTTGGCTCCTGAGGAATTGACAGGGTTGTCACTGGTACTGCTCAATTGTGACTTGGAATCAATGCCAAGGTTTAAGAGACTGAAAAGTTGGCCCTTGTAAATAGTCTGGGACAACTACAGAGAACAGTATTTTCACACAGCCTGAGAAAACACAAATTCATTACAACCTGAAGTACAATCTGCTAAGATGTGCTACAACAAATGGTGGTTAAAAAAAATATGTGTGGAGAAGACGGGTTAGTTGTATTAATTTACGAAGTTTGGGAAAATGTAAGATGTTTAAAGGTTATGGTTATTTATTTTATTATTCATCAGCCAGGTACTTTTCAGAAAAGATTTGAATGTGTCATATGTCATTGAATCAAAGTGTCAACAGTGAAACTTACTCACCCTCATGAACTTAGCTAACACCAATACCATGAATTTTTGTCAGAAACAGGAACTGAATATCCTGAATTGCCCTGCCACACAGCAGCTCAGTGGCTTAGCAGTGGTAAAGATTTACTGCAGTTTTTTTGAGCTCAGGACCAAGATTGGAATTTTCCCAAATGAGAACTGCCCTCAACAACTATTAACACTTTGAAAATTTGTTTTTGCTAGATTGGGCAGTGGCTAACGCTTATGATCTTAGCACTTTGGGAGTCCGAGGCAGGTGGATCACTTGAGGTCAGGAGCTCGAGACCAGCACGGCCAGCCTGGTGAAACCTGGTCTCTACTAAAGATGCAAAAATTAGCCAGGCATGGTGGCACACGCCTGTAATCCCAGCTGCTCGGGAGGCTGAGGGGGAAGATCACTTGAACCTGGGAAGCAGACGTTGCAGTGAGCTGAGATCATGCCATTGCACTCCAGCTTGGGAGACAGAGTGAGACTCTGTCTCAAAGAAAAAAAAGAAAAAAAGAAAATTAGTTTTTCCTGCAGACTTGTTATTGTTTCTTAATGAATTCAACCTAAACTTACAAGACAAAATGGTGCTTATATGCAAAACTTTCGTTGCAGTCAAATCATTTTAATGACAGTTAACTTGGAGTACCATCAAGTCTTTATACATTTCTCATGCTGTCAAAAGTTAAACCTGGAAGCAAGACCTCTATCCCACACAAATTTACAGTAGATGCATTTTCCAAGTTCAAACTATAGTCCCAGCAGTGGTTTTGGACCTCAGTACAAATGAAAGAGAAATTTCCATATCTCAAAATCCATTTAATTCAGGAACTTTCACCAAAATCTCAAATTGGAAATGATTCATCTGCAGTGTAATAATATACCAGAAGCCAGTAATATACCAAAAGGAAAATAGAATAGAATTTCATAAATGCCTCCAAAGGGATACAAGTGTTCCATTAAAATCGTGTGTTTGTGGATGATATCAGTATTTGGCAGCACGTAGGCTGTGTGAAAGAACATTTCAAAGATGTATATCATTATAAATCGGCAATAACAAGTGAACATTTGCAGTCAGTTTTGATGGTAGGGAACACTAACTTTGAACGCCAATTAGGTGAAATGGTATACTCCCAAAAAGAGTTCTTCTCCTTGGTATACCTATATTACCAAAAAATATATGTTGTATTCAGTTCTCATTATATATTGATTTTCCAGCTTAAATTTGTGAAAATTTATTTTCTCTCTCTTTCTGTATGTATTACCCTACATAGTAATCTCAAATTTCCTCTCAGCCCACAAGGACTGTCCTTTTTTGTTGACCAACCCTTGGCTTAAATTAAGAAATTTGCCCAGGATGAGCCATTTTCTTGTCACTTTTCTGACAACTTGTTTTTGGTTTTGCTTTAAGATGGATACTATTCCTTATAGCAAAAAAAGCGGTTCACCTTTTATGGTTCTTGATCCTTATTTTTATAGGAGAGCTTATTTTAGCTTGTCATTATAATGGAGTCTTACACTGAACTGTGTAGAGGAGGCATTATTTCTTAATTCCTTCTACATGTGCCTTTGGAAAGAATACACTTGTACTGAGTCCTTGCTCAAGGTGAGCAACTGTATGCATATTTAATTAACAAATCAAAATTTGTTATTATTGACTTAACATTCAAAGCAGTCAGACTGCATGATGGTACAGATTATATATATTTTGGTAAGATTTGGGTAAGTCGCAATTTGCAAAAAACCTATAGGTTAAAACATTGTTGATATAAGAACAAATGTATTTTTGTTTTATTTTTTAATTTGCAGTGAGAAAAAATGTAGCTCTGCCTAATTAAGTAAATTGCCTGTGAGGTTTTTAAACATGCACTACTTGATGAAAAATAAAAAAGCTGAATGAAAGTAGAAAAAAAGGGGAAAGAAATTACCCATGCCCTGTCAAAAGACATCTACTAGAAATATTTGATGTGTTCCCTTTCCTGCCTTAACTCAGTGATATTTTATGTTTGCTCACCTCAGTCTGTCCAACAACTATTGATTTTATTTTGAAGGAAAATTTGAGAATGGTGTTGCAGAAGGAATGGTGGATCCAAATCTCAATCCCATTGCAGCCTTTCGACTTTCAGTTATTCAGAATTCTGCTGTTTGGGCCATTCTTAATGAGGTAAGAATATTGAAATCAGTGAAACAGCTTAGCAACTATATTTTTATTGTGTTTTTATTTTGTATTTAAGACCTTTTTGGAATTGAGAATTAACTACTTTATCATACTTTTCATGATTTTGTATTTCAGATTCATATTAAAAAAGCTACCAACTGATCATCTACTGAGAAACCAACACATTTTTTTCCTGTGAATTTGTTAATTAAAGATAGTTAAGCATGTACCTTTCTTTTTAATTTCTACTTGAACACTACCTCTTGTGAAATCTACTGTAGATAAGACGATTGTCATTTCCACTTGGAAAGTGAATCTCCCATGATAATTGTATTCATTTAAAACTAAGCTGTCCTCTGATTTTAACTTGACTCAAACATTTTTCAATTATGACAGCCTGTTAATATGACTTGTACTATTTTGGTATTATACTAATACACAAGAGTTGTACATATTGTTACATTCCTTAAATTTGAGAAAAACTAATGTAAAATACATTTTATGAAGGGGGTACTTTTGAGGTTCACTTATTTTACTATTATAATAAGACCCTCTTTTATAGATTATCAGGGATTATATATATAAATATATAAATATACATAAAAATGTTATGGAATTAATTTATTAGAAACACTTAAGAAGTACATATTTTTGTGCAGTAGATTTTTGAATCGATACTTTTTTTGAAAACCAGTTACCTTGCTTTTTTAAGTTCTTTCTATATTTTTCTTTGGAAATGCAAACATTACAAATCAATGCCATTTTTCAAATGCACTGCCATTTAAGATTGATTATAGATGGATTTCTTAACTGAAGTACTTTTATAATCACAGTGACTCTGAACAAAATATTTTCAAAGACATTCGTCATTCCTTAAAGCCAAGATTTTAAAGACAAATGTCCTTCCTGAGGGTTACTTTGCTATACTGTGTATGGTGTACAGCCACAGAAAGTCAGTCTGATAAATTCTCAATGTATAAGTGTGATGCATTCAACCCAGATTATTGTAGACTTAACTCATTATATTTCCTCTGATATGTAAAATGACAAACTCTTCTTTCCTTTTTAATCTTTGTCTTTAATCTGTGAGTTAGGTGCATTATCTCCTGTTGATTCTTTTTCATCTGCACTCATGAGCTCTGACAAAATGTTTTCTAGATGTTGCTATTGTATGAGTTGTAATTGGTATAATTTTAAAGAAAAATTGTAATATTGTTTTTTGGTGAAAGGTATTACTAGTAGTATATTTTCCAAAATGATTTTATTGCAGTATGAACTGATAAGTGGGTCCCGTGTCCAGAAGAGTATATGTATTACTCTTAAACATGCAGCTCCAAATGATATTACTACTATAAACAAAGAGCATTACCAGCCTGTTAAAAAATGAATTGTCAACATCAGTTCCTAGCCAGTCTGCTTGGACACACTGAAGTGCCTCAAGTGGGTTGCAGGTTGGTTGCAGATGGGCAGAGATGGATTCTGTTGAGCTTTCTGAGTGGCCACTGGCTGGGACCTAGCACTGGGGCAGAGTTCCAGCTGGTTGCCTCTAGCCTGGAGGAGCTTCATCTAGTTACCCAATGTGTTGAACCAACAGCATCAAACAGCATCATTTTCTGTGCAGTGTTATGAAGTGAAAACATTTGGAAACACTGATAGAGTACACCATCACTCCATGTTGTAATAATTTTTAGCTACTTTTGTTGATTGAAAAGTCAATCATTTTGCCAAAAATGATTTTTATGTCAGTTAAAGGCCAGTTGAAATTTTTTTGTTAGAATGTTTTGTTTTTCACTTTCTTGAATGTTTTTTTTCTTAGATTTCCTTGGCCCAGTGCCTACAAGCAAATTGCATTCAAAAAGAGGAATAACCTTTCTTCATAAAATTTTGGCACCAGCTGGGCATACTAAAGTACTGCAAAAATAACTTAGTACCAGAGGTAAACATCTGTGCAGATGGGCTTAGGAGTCCCTTTGGATCCCTGGTTCCTCAGTTGCCAACTCTGGTTTCATGAAGAAAGACCATGCTCTGAAAATCTAGGGAGAAGAAAGTTACTGCAGCACTTGGTATGATCTGTTACAACTTCTTTAAAGACAGCCTGCCTGGCCAGCTTTTTTCTGTTTCCATGCAGTTTTCCCTCCCAGCATCAGCCGTCCCGTTCCTAGGAAGCTCATTCTTGTTTCCAAGACTCCTTTTAGCTAAATCTTTCCTATCATTCCAGGACTTTCTTGTAGTCCCCTCCCCATGAATCTACCAGTGCCTAGGGTGTGTGGGGCACATGGCAGGTGGCCAGTCAACATCTGGATGTGGAACCAATTGTTCCAGCCTGCCCTCCTCTTTCTCTTTTTTTAAATTATTTTTTATTATCTTGTATTATTTTTGAGACAAGGTCTCGCTTCGTTGCCCAGGCTGGAGTGCAGTGGTGCTCTCACAGCTCCCTGCCGCCTTGACCTCCGGGCTGAAGCGATCCTATTGCCTCAGCCTCCCAACGTGCCAGGATTACAGGTATGGGCCACCATGCCCAGCCCTCTTACTCTTTCTTCACTCCGTCTCCCTGCTGTCATTGCCATGCTCTTGCGTACACAGTCAGCTGTCTAGTTTTTGATTGTGGACATGTCTGTGTGTGGTGTGTATTGTCTCTGACCAGGTTTCAGGGTCCTGAGGCAAGCCTGCAGCTCACGCTGCTCAGCTGTCCTCCCCTGCGGCGGGTGCTCAGGGCCTCTCACTGTTAGTTACTCCCTACTTTCTGCCCAGTTCTGTTAGTAGAAACAGCTATCCTTTCCCCAAGCAAGAAATTGTAGTTAGGAGCAGTGTGAGGGCAGAAGGTTAAGAAAGGAGGAGAGTGCCTGGAACTGGAAGAAGGTAAATACTTCCCCTTGCGGGGACACTGATATGTTTTACCAAAATAGTAAATGGAGAAAGTGTCAAAGGTTGGCACTAGTTTTAAAAATACATATAGCCAGTAGACACATGGGGGCTGTTTAAATAAATAAAAAACCCAGTTCTCCTGTCACACCAGCAACATTCCAAGTACTCAGTGGCCATGTGGGGCTAGTGGCGACCACACTGGACACCGCAGATGCAAAACGTTTCCATTGCTGCAGAAAGCTCTGTTGGACAGTACTGTGTCCAGAGGGCTAACTGTCAACAGTCTAGAAACCATGAGTAATAAACTCTCATTAGGAGGTTAAAAGCAGACATGGGAGTAGACCATAATGCAAATGACGATAAGCATTTTGGGTGAGAAGAGGAAGTTGAGGACCCGTTTCTAAGAGGTAAGATTTCTTAAGTTCTTTGTCTTAGTCTCATGCATTCCCCTCATCATTCACTGTACCATACTGTGTAGTCAGAACAGACAGTGTGACTGAAAAGCTTTGGAAAAAGTTAATGCAAAGTATTATTTAGCACATGGGCTGTAGACATGTTCAACCACTGGAGATGAATACCTTTGAACAAAGTATATAGCTTCTCAGATCAGTGGTTGCACTAGTAAATAATTAGAAGGTGTGGTTATTTTTAAAACTATAAGCAAAATTATGAAGGCCTTTAAAAAATTGATCATAATAATAAAAAAAAAGGTTGTCTCCTAACAGTGCTGTCCATCAAAGAAAAGATTGATTATGTGGAAACAGCACGTTTGGAGAGACTGTTCTAGTGAATAGCAGTGTATATTTGTGATAGGCAGATTTCTAAGAATGACCCCTATTGACACTCCTGCTAGTGACCTTGTATAATATCCTCCCCCTTTGAGCATGGGTGGAACCTGTTTGATCTATGATTATATCATTTTGTCTAGCAAAAGGAAGACTGTCTGGGGGTAGTTTATTAAATCTTGTGACTCCCTTAAAAGCAGAGAGTTTTCTTAGGCTGGTAGCAGAAGTCACTGACAAAGCAGAAAGACCTCAGGTGCCATTGCTGTTTTAAGGTAGAGGGGGCTGCATAAGAAGGAATACAGATGGCTTTAAGGAGCTGAGAGGCCTAACAGCCAAGTAGCTGGGAACTGCAGTCCTACAGCCACCAAAACTGAATTTAGCCATAAACTCATTCATGGGCTTGGAAAGGCATTCATCTCCAGTCTCCAGATAAGACCCAGCCTGGCCAACACCTTGAGTCCAGCTTTGTGAGACCCTAAGCCGAGAACTCCAGTTAAGTCTGCTTGGACTACTGGACTACAGAACTATGAGATAATAAATCAGTGGTGTTTTAAGCTGCTCAATTTGTGGCAATTGGTTGTGTAGGAATAGGAAATGAATACAGCATTTTAAAAGAGATAAAGAGGAAATCTTCATACTTGATTCCCTGTAGTATACGGGATATTTCTTGGTAAATGCATGAATAAAGTCTTTAGTAACAAGTCATGTACCTGGGCCTCATCAGGAATGTCTTCTGCCAGAGATCTCAATTTGTCTTCACTGGGCATTTGTTGGCAAAGTTGCAGCATCTTACTGAGTAGGGTTTTGTAAAGGAACTGCTAAAATGAGATTATAGGAATAGGACTAAAACAGTGTGTAAGGGATCTTTTTTTTTTTTTTTGAAGAGGTGTTACTTTATACTGATTTAGACTGCTCTGAACCTGTCAGAAGTAAATTGAAGAATGAGTAACAGTGGTATTTTGGATACAACATTAAGAGCAAAAATAACCTTTGCTTTGTAAAGATCAGATAATCTACTGTGTATCGAGGGACTTAATTTTTTTTTAACCAAAACTTAGTTTCTCTTTTTATCATCTAGCACAGATCAAATCCTCCACGGGCCAGCCAAATGTTCGTAGCTTGAGGATGTTTTGCAGATAACCTCTCTGCTTCCAAGCCATTAATTGCTAAAGAAGTTTATTTTTATTTTGGTTTGTCCATTAATTTTTGTGCTTTTTACTGTATTGCCATGGCCTTGATACAAATAGAATTAAAAGAAAGAAAATGAGAGATTAAGACTGTCAAAAGATGGGAAATGTGAGTCATAATCATACCTTAGTGTTGTAAGAGAACTTTATCCACTCCAACCCCTTTATAAAGGAACTTTTCCAAGCTATGTTGCAATATTTATAGGGTGTAAAATTTAGTTTGACTCTGGCAGTTGTGCATTTTAAATTATTAATCTTATATGCTAACTAGTATGCTTACTTTAATGCATGTGAACATACAATGCTAAAAAGATATTTTTTTAAAAAACCCAACTGAACTGAGGATTTGGTTATACATTATGTGCATCAACATGTATACGTAAACTCCTCTCTTCTTACCCGAAACACTCCTTCACCAGTTTGGGCACTAACTAGATCATTTTCAGAGGAACAGAAAGAAAGGAGTGAGTTGGCACTCCAGGGTGCGTGTGAGCTGAGAATTTAGAAGACCTTTTTCAAGAAAGTAAACTGAGCGTTAACAGGAAAGCACTTTGCGCGAAGTATCATTTCCACTGTTAACGTTGCAGTAAAACTTGTTAAAAAAAAAAAAATGGTGCTAAAATTGTTCTAAAATGAAGATTGTTTGTTGTGGGGAATATTTTAATACTCTTGGACTTTAGGGAGACTATTTTATGTGTCACTTGCTCCTAGTAGTTTCATTGTATTAGTAATTAGCAAACTGTCCTGGAACCAAGGGTTTGGTACTTTTACTTGGTTAGCATTCCATTATTTATTTGAAATGCTCAGTGTTTGCTCAAATTTGGTGAAAGTATCTTTTGAAGACATATTCTCCAAGCCTTAAAAGTGGCTGATATTCACAGTACTGTAAGATGCACTGCCAGTAGATTTGAGACTTTTCATTTCAGTGTAGACAGTATGTTTTCTAAGAAAGATTTGGAGCTGGGCACAGTGGCTAACTCCTGTAATCCCAGCACTTTGGGAGGCTGAGGTGGGCGAATCACCTGAGGTCAGGAGTTTGAGACCAGCCTGACCAACATGGAGAAACTCCCATTTCTACTAAAAATACAAAATTAGCCGGTGTGGTGGCGCATGCTTGTAATCCCAGCTACTTGGGAGGCTGAGACAGGAGAATTGCTTGAACCTGGGAGCCCAAGGTTGCAGTGAGCCAAGATTGTGCCATTGCACTCCAACAGGAGCAAAACTTCATCTAAAAAAAAGAGTTAAGAATCAGCAAAGTGTAACAATTGTGTTTCATTTATGGGATGAGAAACTGAAGCGTCCCATTCAGAACACTTTGGAAAGGTTGTCTTTGCATCAGGGGTTGTTTCTGGAAGCATCCCTTGGAGAAGCTGCCTGAGGAATCTCCTTGCCAGGTTGTACCAGATTTTTTTTTCTTCTTTAATGTATTGTATATATTTTCTGTAAAATGTCTTCATTAGCTGAATGATTAATATCTGTAGTAATATTTTAGGTACTTGTTGGATTTTTAAAGGAAGATTATTTATTTTCAGATTTGCTGCTATAATTGAAAACCTAATAACTGGTCCTGTTGACTGTGCCTTTCATCACTGTTTTCTGTGCCACGACCGTTCATGTGTATTTGAAATAAAATAGTTTAAAAAGCCATGTTGAATTCAAGATTCCTTCTAATAAAAATAGGTGAAATTTATTGAGTAGCATTTTATTAATTTTAACGATACACTACTACTTACTTATCCATTTTCAGTTAGAAAACAGGAGTGGATCCTTTATTTGGGCTTTGTAAACTCTTCAAAGAAAGGAAAAAAGCCTTACTGTTAAGACAGTGATGATCAATATTATGCAGATGTTCACTTTATTATATGTACTATATAGTTCCTAAAATAAGAGTAGCCACCCTGGGCCTCTTCGATCTAATATATTTTGAGGCTGTAAGTTTTTAATGTAGAAAATGCTGCTAATGATGCTTAGGGCCTGAAGTACAGTGACTCCTGCTTGAGTGACATTACAGGTTACAGAGGATTCTGAAGGTTAGAAGGGATCATGCGGCTTATGTAAATATTTAAAATGCAGCTCATTAGAAGTGGAGATTATGCATTTTTGTTGATAGGAGAGACAGGGTGTGTGTGTGATTATTCCTATGTTCCCCAACTACTCTTTCAAAAATACTAATTCATATTATTTTACATTTATATTTTCCCCATGCCCTTAGCATTTTATATGTAGCTCCTATCTGTGCAAAGATTAGAATGAACACATGTACATGCTTTAGTTTAAAAAATATTTATTTATTATAGAAATGTACATTTAATTAGTTTTAAGGAATGTACCTGACCACAGTGTTAACATATATTTCTTCAAATTTGCAAACTTTACATCTTTAAGATATCTACAAAGATAGTTTATTTACAAAAGTTTTACAAGAAATTATCACTTCACAAATACTGCTGACACAGTTACGATTGAATATTCTTTTTTTTTTTTTTTTTTTTTATTTCACTCTGTACTTATAGAAAGAACACAGAGTATGGGTGAAGTTCCATCCCAGTGCCAGTGACAGCCCGTAGAGTAGAATCAGAGGTGCAAATGGATACAGAAGAATTACTGTATTTTTCAAAAATGGCAACGCTAGAAAAGAAAGAAATCCAAATTGGTTTTTAAAAAAGCAAATAAATGACTGGTAAATGAACATTTTGAAAGACAGCTTACTTTAACATGTGGGGTGGAAGGGAACGAGTCTTTTGAATCACCAAGATGATGCTATTTACAGCCAGAACTAGATGAGTCTTCCCACCCTCTGTGCTGTCTTCTTGTATAGGGCCGGGAAGAAACCTCAGAGATGAATTATTAGAGCATAGAGGCTCACTGGGACGCACAATGGATCAAGAGAGGTTAACAGGAAGGGAGAAACATCACAGTACTCATGAAAACAGTGGTGAACCTAAACTTGTGACTGCCTCAGAAGCCTCTAGGAGTCCAACTTAAAGTACAGAGATGGATGATGTTACAGGAAGACATCTTTTAGCTAATTGAGATTTTCACTGTAGAGCACTATACCCCCACTTTAAGAGGGTGTGAGCTCAACTAGTAGTCCAAGATTTAGGAAAGAACTCAAGATCTAGCTCCAAATATTGATGTTTCTTGCTCACTGCTTCGTTAGCAGGACCCTACCCCATACATCCTGACCTAAGTATTTCTCATACAGGAAGTTCTTAAATGGAAACTGAACTGTACTCCAACTATTCTAAGTGGTACAGAGAGTTACCAGGAGTGCTCAAATATCCACTTAAGAGAAACCACAGTGCTGCCATGTTCTAATCACAGAACACTTTCAAAATTCATTAGAAATGGCACAAACATCTCCCCTGGACTACAGAAAGCACTCCCCAAACAAGACATTACAACAAAGGGGTTAAGAGGTCCCTGGCATACAAGCTGGGCTGGGGGGGGGAGGGTGAGATGGGAGTGGGAGCAACTGACCAGAAGCCGGACACAGTCAGAGCCGTCCATACTAACAGGCCCTAACCATCTACAGAAACGGAAAAGGATGGGCTTAGAAACGTACAGTGCTAACAAGTCATAAGTAAAGTCTCTAGATTTTATTTGGCTTTATTTAATGGAGATCATTTCTTACCATAAATGAAGAATAACATATTCCTCATTCATATTAAGAAAAATGAACTGACAACAGGATTTAAGAGTAAATCTGCACACATGTCCCGAGGACAATAAATGTTGGGCCCGATCTTCTGTGATCGTCTACAGACCATATGGTAATCATGAAAACTAAAAATAAGGCAAAAGTATGATTCAAAAGGCTTCAGGGAATTTCATTTCATACATCTGTGTGACTAGATGCCGAGCCCCACCTTTCTCTACTCTACCCTACTGCTGGTAACCCACAACCAGAAACCATGGGGGAAAAGGAGGAGTAAATGGGCTTGGATTCCTGGAAGTCATTTGGAGATAACCAGTATGGTTTAACATGCATGGTTCCTTGAAATTATAAAATTTGTTCTATACCAGCTAGACCATTTTCTAGCTGCATGACCGGGGCAAGCTGCTTCATCTCTGTGCCTCAGTTTCTTCATTTGAAAAAAAGGAAACAAGTAAACCTATATAATTGTTATGAAGATTGAGATAATACACATAAAATACTTAGGACAGTGCCTTAAGTGTTCCATAAAAGCAAGCTATTAGTTTTACTGTTAGAACTTTCCCCCTCTTGCTATGTTCTCAATCAACCAAAAACATTAAAATTACTTACCACTGTATCCCAGGAAAGTGACATAGATATAATAGCCAACCGCAACCAACCATAAGGTATTTCCAACTAAATATCCAATAAATGTGTCTGTCAGGATAACATCTGCCAGAAGAGATGCAGACAATGAGTCCCTTTACCAATGCATGCAATGAAGACCTGGATAATATTCTAAGTAACTGCTACTTACGGTTGATGAAAAAAAGCTGGATAAAATGCAGAATGACCAGGAGTGGATAAAAAGCATTGAGATGCACATCAAAAGCATAGCCCCATTCCACATCATAGTCTCTGCTCTGTCGTTTCACTAAATACTTGTTAGAGATGAACCTAAGAGCAAAATTAAAATGTCTTTCATAATAAAATTAATTCTGTAAATGTTTACTAACTACCTTCTATATGGCAGACGTTCTAAATTCTGGAGATACGGCAGTAAACAAAACAGACAAAAATCCCTGCCTTCCATCTAGGGGGAAAGACTGACTGATATAAGTATGCCAGATGGTACTATGGAGAGAAGAGAAATGTGTAGCAGAGAAATGTGGAAAATACAAACTTGAGATGCAATTTTACATTTAAGGGTCATAAAGTAACGTTGGGTAAAGACCCAAGGACTGTCATAGTGCCTGGTAGGTCTGAGGAATGAGTAAAAAGTCCACTGTGCTGAAAGAAGAAAAGGAGCAAGAAATTAAGTCAGAAAAGAAACAGGGTTGGGCCCAACATCTAGTCACACAGGCTCCATGTCTTATAGAGCCTGTGGCCATTTTAAAATCTGGTTTTTATTCCTGGTGAAATGAGAAGCCACTGTGAGTTTTGAGAAAAGTATTTGACTTAAATGTCTTGACAGAGCTGCCCTGGTGACTGATCTGAGGACAGACTCTACAGACAAGAGTAGAAGCAGAGACCAGTTCCAAGGCTACTGCAAGGAAGAGATGAGCAGAGGGGCTGGTCGCAATGGAGGTGCTAAGATGTGGAACACACGATACTCTGAAGCCCGTGATGTAAAGTATTGGATGTGGAGCATGAGAAAGACCGAAGGATGACTGAGAGATTTCTGCCTTGAACAAATGGAAGATGGAGCTGCCTTTAACTGAAGTGGGGCTGGCTATGAGAAGAGTGATTTTGAGGCAGGAAGGAGTGTGCAGAAGTTTGAATTTGGACCTGTTATGTTGAAGATGCCAACTAGGATGGAGTAAGAAGTTGTATACAAAGTCTAGAGTTTGGATGATAAGTCCAAACTGGAGATACAAACTCGTCAGTGTTTAGATTATATTAATATTTAAAGTCACAGGCCTGAATGATGTCACCAAAAAAATGAATGTGGATAATGAGTCAACCCCCTATTAAAAGGAGGGTGAAATAGGAATGGCAGTTAAGGAAGAGTGACATACCTAGCCTTAAGAACAATTATTCAAGCTTAGGTCACTGTTCTACAACACAGCCTACTAGTTTTTTAGTTCAGTGATAAGTGAATAAAAAGTAAAACATCTGAGTAATAGAAAAGTAAATCTTCAAAGAACAAAAATTGTGTTATAAACATATATTGAAAATTCAATGTACTTTTTAAAGTATTATTTCATTTCAACTCAAGGATACAATTAAGAATATGCTATTCCGGCACTGGGAATAAAAATAGAAAATAGAGGAAAAACATGGTACAATACTAATGGTAACAGCCCTGCATTTAGTTATCTGAAAATGCCAAAACAATACTGAACAAACTAGAGCTTACCCAGACAGTTTCCTTCTTAGCCAAGAACGTGTGCCATTCAAATTGTATGGAGTCAATATGTAGCTCACTCCCCAAGAGCGCCCTTTCTGTAGAAGTTCGCTGCTCCCGCTATTCCCCTGCTTATCCCAAATGCGCACTTTCCAAGCTTCTGGCCTCACTGTGAGTCTCACCTCTAGAACACAGATGCGCCTTCTGAGAGCACTCTAAGGCACTGTGGTTTTCACCTCCCAGCTCCATATTAACAACGCCGGTCAGAGGCTCATCAGGGTCACGACTCTTGCCTCTAGGTCTAGAGTCATCGACCTCAGTGTCTACTGACCTTCTTTTCCACTATTCGACATGCTCTCTGAACTCAACATGGCAACAAGGGCTGCTTCATCTGCACCTGCTGCTTTCTCAGTCATCGAAGCCCAAACTTTGCAGGCCAGCCCAAAGAAGCCTCCCACCCACTCCCCCTTCCCGATCCCCCCTCACACCTTGTTATCTCAGGAAGCTCTCGAATCCATCTCTCCTCTCTATTCCTATTACCACCACACTATCTGGGCCTCCTCTACTCCTACACGGACCTCTGCAGGTGTATCTAGCCTTGCCTGCTCCCTACTCCAACTTTTGCCTGCTCTGCTGCCATAGAAAATATTTTTCCTAAAATGTGAATTTGACATTATTTCCTTACTTCAAAGCCTCAAAGCTACCCACCTCCTTCTGCCCCCAACCCACAAATGCGGTCTATGGGACAAAGTCCAATTTTTTTCCTGAATGGCATTCAGGCCAATTTCTCTAGTCCCATCTCTTCCCTAGTCACTCGGTGTCACCCTATGCTCCCAGACTTATTGTGCTGTTCCACCTCTAAGCCTTTGCACTTGCCATTCCTGGTACCAGGAATCAATGATTCCACATCTCCACAAAACACCTCCTCATGCTGGTGTCTGTGGCACCTCTGGATGCTCATAATTATATGGAGTCATTTCTCTTTCTAGTTCCTCATACTACGTAGGTTCTTACAAATACAATGAATCTCTTTCTATTTAATTCAAACTATGATTCAGACTCACATGAAAGGTGCTAATCTCCAAGTTGATTTAGTTTCTGTGGCTGATATAGTTTGGCTGTGTCCCCACCCAAAATCTCATCTTGAATAGTAATCTCCAAAATCCCCATGTGTCGAGGGTGGCGCTGGGTGAATGTAATTGAATCATGGAGGCAGTTTCCCCCATGCTGTGCTAGTGACAGTGGGTGAGTCTAAAAGATCTGATGGTTTTGTAAGTGTCTGGCATTTCCCACTTGTACTCACTCTGTCCTGCCACCGTGAGGAAGGTGCCTGCTTTTGCTTTGCCTTCCACCATAACTGTAAGTTTCCCTAGCAATGCAGAACTGAGAGTCAATTAAACCTCTTTCCTTTATAAATTACCCCGTCTCAGATATTTCTTCATAGCAGCATGAGAACAGACTAAGACAATGGCCCTCCAGAATTACTGCATTCATGGCAGAATGCTTATTATAAATCAAACTATTCCTCTGAAAGTCTTATTTACTGAAATTTTAAAATACACCATATGCTTTTCATGAAATTCTCGGTAATGTAATGACTTACATTAGTGTTAATTCTAGGCCAGATTTTAGAATTTTATGTTAACAATGCACAGCATTTATTGGCTAACCAGCACATATAAAAGCTCTGCTGTACTAGTCAGAAGTTACAAAGGAAAATACAGGCATATGTCATTTTACCACACTGCACTGTACTGCGCCTCACAGATACTGTGGTTTTTTCTTTTTACATATTGAAGGTTTGTAGCAACTGGGTCCAGCAAGTCAGCCTCTGCCAGTTTTCCAGCAGCATATGCTCACTTCATGTCTCTGTGTCAGCATTTTTTAGCAATAAAGCATTTTAAAATCAAAATCTGTACATTGTTTTTTAGAGACGTAGTGCTGTTGTACACCTAGATTATAGTACAGTGTAAGTAAGATTTTAATATGCACTTGGAACCAACAAATCTGTGTGACTTGCTTTATTGTGGTATTTGTTCTACTGCAATGGTCTGGAACTGAATTGGCATATATGGGCTATGCCTATAAAAGGCTGGTATCAGCTGGGCGTGGTGGCTCACACCAAATCAAGAGTGAACTCCCATTCACAATTGCTACAAAGAGAATAAAATACCTAGGAATACAACTAACAAGGGATGTGAAGGACCTCTTCAAGAAGAAATACAAACCACTGCTCAAGAAAGTAAGAGAGTACACAAACAAATGGAAAAACATTCCATGCTCATGGTTAGGAAGAATCAATATCGTGAAAATGGTCATACTGCCCAAAGTAATTTATAAATTCAATGCTATCCCATCAAGCTTTCTGTGACTCTCTTCACAGAATTGGAAAAAACTACTTTAAATTTTATATGGAACAAAAAAAGAGTGCACATAGCCAAGACCTAAGCAAAAAGAACAAAGCTGGGGGCATCATGCTACCTGACTTCCAACTATACTACAAAACTACAGTAATCAAAACAACATGGTACTGGTACCAAAACAGATATATAGACCAATGGAACAGAACAGAGGCCTCGGAAACAATGCCACATATCTATAACCATCTGATCTTTGACAAAAGCAATGGGGAAAGAAGTCCCTATTTAATAAACGGTGTTGGGAAAACCGGCTAGCCATACGCAGAAAGCTGAAACTGGATCCTTTCTTTACGCCTTATACAAAAATAAGATGCATTAAAGACTTAAACATAAGACCTAAAATCATAAAGACCCTAGGTAAAAACCTAGGCAATACCATTCAGGACACAGGCATGGGCAAAGAATTCATGACTAAAACACCAAAAGCATTGGCAACAAAAGCCAAAATTGGCAAATGTGATCTAATTAAACTCCAGAGCTTCGGCACAGCAAAAGAAACTATCATTAGAGTGAACAGTCAACCTACAGAATGGGAGAAAATTTTTGCAATCTCTCCATCCGACAAAGGGCTAACATCCAGAATTCACAAAGAACTTAAACAAATTCACAATAAAAAAAAACCCCATCGAAAAGTGGGCAAATGATATGAACAGACACTTCTCAAAAGGAGACATTTATGCAGCCAACGAACATATGAAAAAAAGCTCATCATCACTGTTCTTTAGAGAAATGCAAATCAAAACCACAATGAGATACCACCATCTCACACCAGTTAGAATGGCCATCATTAAAAAGGAGACAGATGCTGGAGATGATGTGGAGAAATAAGAACACTTTTACACTGTTAATCGGAGTATACATTAGTTCAACCATTGTAAAAGATAGTGTGATGATTCCTCAAGGATCTAGAACTAGAAATACCATTTGACCCAATGATCCTATTACTGGGTATATATTCCAAGGAGTATAAATCATTTATTATGAAGATACATGCATACATATGTTTTTTGTGACACTGTTCACAATAGCAAAGACTTGGAACCAACCCAAGTGGCCATCAACGACAGACTGGATAAAGAAAATGTGGCACATATACACCATGGAATACTATGCAGCCATAAAAAAGGATGAGTTCATGTCCTTTGCAGGGACATCGATGAAGCTGGAAACCATCATTCTCAGCAAACTAACACAGGAACAGAAAACTAAACACCACATGTTCTCACTCACAAGTGGGAGTTGAACAATGAGAACACATGAACACAGGGAGGGGAACATCGAACACAGGGAGGGGAACATCACACACAGGAGGCCTGTCAGTGGGTGGGAGCCTAGGGGAGGGACAGCATTAGGAGAAATACCTAATAGATGACGGGGTGATGGATGCAGCAAGCCACCATGGCACATTTATATTTATGTAACAAACCTGCAGGTTCTACACATGTACCCCAGAACTTAAAGCACAGTTTAAAAAAAGGTTGGTATCTTAAGTGATAGTTGCAGAGTTTTGCTTAAAATACTAGTAGGAACTACCAAATACTGAACACTTAACTGTGTTCAGGTACTCTTCATACCATAATTCTCTCAAAAGTTGGGCAAAATAGATAATTAACTTGATTTTACAAATGAGACTGGGACTGGCCAGGCGCGGTGGCTCAAGCCTGTAATCCCAGCACTTTGGGAGGCCAAGGCAGGTGGATCACGAGGTCAAGAGATCGAGACCATCCTGGTCAACATGGTGAAACCCCGTCTCTACTAAAAATACGAAACATTAGCTGGGCATGGTGGTGCGTGCCTGTAATCCCAGCTACTCAGGAGGTTGAGGCAGGAGAATTGCCTGAACCCAGGAGGTGGAGGTTGCGGTGAGCTGAAATCGCGTCATTGCGCTCCAGCCTGGGTAACGAGTGAAACTCCGTCTCAAAAAAAAAAAAACAGACTGGGACTAAGGGTTACACAGATAACTAACTTGGCATTTGAACCCAGGTCTCTCTGCAACTAAAATGTTCTCTACAGTGACCACCACGCTGCTCAACCACTGGTTCTCTACTGAGATTGCTGGCCACATCCCGTGCCCTTCATCCAGTATGACAATAACACAGGACAACTTGATTAAACACCAGATTTATCCTCAAGTACACTGCTGTTGTGAAGTCAACCAAAGGCAGACTGAGAACCCTTTGACAAAACCCGTGTGTGTGNGGGGGGGGGGGGGGGGGGGGGGGGGGGAAGAGGGTTTTTTTCTCAGCAGGAAGGCCTGAGAAGTTTAAAAACAGTCCTGATTTTTCAAGTATACTTCATTTAATGCAAAGATTCAAAGTAAGATGCTACAAAATACCCTTTAGATCTAAATGGATTTAAACACAATGAATATCTAGAAGTGGTCTCTACTGATAAATACAGAAAACTATGCTATCATCCAGACAACTTAAGCAGAACTGGCTAAATCTGTAATATTTTTGCAAAACCAGGGATTTTGTTAGTATGAAGAAAATAAATCTTGGGACCCCCAAATCACTATGCCAAAGGTAAAAGTCAAGCTGCAAACTGTGTCAGGCAAACTTGCCTCCTATTTTAATCCTAAATAAGATAGCTTATCTTTACAGCTGTGGGACATAAAGTCTTTCTGTTCACCTGAGACAAGTGTTTATCTGATTGCTTTATTGTTTATGTAAAAATGCAGACTCACTCACCGAGCCAGACTGAGGCATAAATGACTATTCCTGTACCTGCCTCTCACAAGTAAATTGTGTATTCAGTGAAAGGCTGATCAAAGACTCAAAAGAATACAGCCTTTTGTCTCTCATCTAACTATAACCTGCCTTTCCCTGCTTTCTAGACTGAAACAGTATACTTCTTATACATATTGACTGATGTCTCATGTCTCCCTAAAATGTATAAAAGCAAGCTGTACCCCGACCACCTTGGGCACATGTCATCAGGACCTCCTGAGGCTGTGTCACAGGCATGTCCTTAACCTTGGCAAAATAAACTTTCTAAATTGAGACCTGTCTCAGATATTTTGAGTTCAAAATATAATCATTATTTCAATTATTTGCTACACTTTGACAATATAAACCATCCTTTAGAGTATTTTCTGATATAGGTGGCAACACATGAGGGCAAACTGTAATAACCTTGGTAGTCAAAATTGATCATTCAGGACTCTATCTTGGTTTCAATTTCCATCTGTTGCTATTGTACCTCTGAAGCAAACAAACGGAGATGCTAAACCAAAGTTATGGTACTTACCACATTAAAGTTGCTATCAGAAGACCAACACCTACACAATCTATGAATACAACCCAAAGGAGAAGCTTTATTGTCTCAAAGAATCCCATGTCCAGCACAAAGCCAAATCCTATAGTGGACACTGAAAGAAAGATTCACAATATTCATTTAGGCACTCTGCTAGATTCTGGAAATACAGAACACATCCCCTGCCCCCTAGATGCCCAGGCTAGTGGGAGAGACAGGTCTGTAAACAAACTCCCAAAATGTGTGAACACCACCTTGGAACACAGCATGGCTACTGAGGGAGCTGAAGTTTCCTGAGAAGGGCCCTTGCCAGGCTGATTCACCATGGTGGCCTCAGTATTTAGAGTGGCAGTCTAGGGCAGGCACTAACATAGTTTAAGTCCAGTTAAAGGTGCAAAACAGTCTATAAACTTCAATATCCTGCACACTTCAACACCCTACAGGTAAATGAGACCCTTGCGTTATGGAATTGGAGAACTTCAGTTTCTCAAATTCACATCAATACCTTTACAACTCTCACTCTGGATCTGCCTGACAGAAATGCAATTTCCAGTTTCCTATTCATTTTCACAGTCAGCTGGCATTTGGGTACCGATTCACAGTAGTTATAAAGACATGGAGTGAATCTTGTCCCCTGCTGTTCAATGTCCTAGGGCAACAAGTTACTCTGGCATCTGCAGAACCAAGAAGACTAAGACTTTCTTTCCTGCGAGATTTTTGAGGCCTCAGTAAAAAGGAGAAGTAGCTTCCAATATTTCCAAATTCTGACCCACAACACATTTATAATAAATGAAAAGTCTAATCAGAAACGCTCAGTGTTCAAGTCTATTGCAGATAAACTACCACTTACCACAGAGCCAGATACTTAACAGTACCAAGAAAGCAGGGTCATCTCTGGCCCACTGGTCCTTCGTCTGTTTTCGGTAATGAAAGTTTCTGTAAACTCTCTGCGGGGACGTGAACAGGTAGAGCATCTGCCAGGCAGCAAACTCAAAGTCCATCTGCCGAAAGCGGAAAAGTCTTCTCAGATATTTGTAGCGTTTTGCTCCGGCTGTGTGTCTTGCTGCATCCCTGGAACTCAGGACTCCATTCCCCTGCACTGAGGAATTCAATGAAGTACTCGGTAACATCTTCCTAGATTGAAGAAAAACATTTATTTTACACGTATTCCGAAGAAACCCTTGGCTACCGGCACCCCTCTTGGGAGGGAGGTCACTTTACATGTTCTTCCAACCCTAGAGAAAGGCCAGGGGTCAAAAGCAAATGCAGTTGGTTCTGAAGCGGGTCTTAGGGCTTGGGAACTGCAGACTGCACCTCAGGCAAGGGCAAGAGCCCACCCTTCTGAATCACCTAGTAACACTTATCCACGGGCAGCTACCGTTACAGAGACAGGGGGATGAAGTGACTGCCTCATGACTCCGAGGATAGTGACTTAGCTAAGATTAGAAATCTGACTCGAAATTCCGTGCTTTTAAGAAAATGCCACAAAGCTTTTAAGAAAATGCCTAAGAAAACAATGTTTCAGCTGGTTAGAACACCGTTACTGAAAAGGTAAAATAAACAGCCTGTTCACACAAATCCATCAGCGCACGGCCAGAAAGCTCCTCGGTTACTAAAATAAGATTAAAAACCAAGTAGGACTCCTATCCCTAGTGTTTTACATCCGGAATAGTTCAGCAGAGGGAGCGGCAGCGTTGGAGTCCAGTCCAACCGGTCCCAGCTCCGAGGAGCGCCGGCCACTGCCCAGCTGCCTGTTTCCCCTCCACTTCGAAGGCCCCCGGGACGCTGGCAGCGCCTGGCCGGGCCCAGCTGCTCCCTCCCGGCCCGCGGCCGCGGGTACGGCTGCCAGATTAACCAAATAAAAACACAGAACGCCCAGCTCTATTTGGATTTCAGACAGGCTACGAATAAGGTTTTAGTATACCTACATCTCACGCAACATTTCGGATATGCTTATACTAAAGGCTCTTTATCTATGCAAATGTAACTGGGCGTCCTTAATTTTAACCGCAACTCCACCGCGGCCGGACGCTGACACGGTTACTGCCCGGCGGCAGCGACGCCAGGCCTCAAGCTGTCGGGACTAAATGGCCCCCAGCGCGAGCCCGGGCCAAGGGTGGGAAGAGCGATCCTCAGGCCTCACCTGGAGCCCTGCTGCAGCCTCGACTCGCCTCCGAACCAGCCCACCACCTCGTCCCACCCGCCGAGCCCAGCAGCCGCCGGGCCGGCTTCTCCTTCCGCAACGTAGCCGGCGCTCGCGGCGCTCCGCTTCAAACCACCCACTTCCGTCACGGACCCACCACCCCTCGGCCTCCGTCGTCGTCGGCCCAACAGCCGCGGCCCGCCGGAAGTTATTGCAACTGATTTCCGGTCCCCTACTACGGGTCCCATTCGCTGCTGGCGAGATTGCAGCTATTGCAGTGGAAGAAAGTAGAGTCCGCAGCGGACGGGAAGCGCCGTAATGCCCCAGTATTATGAGGACAAGCCGGAGGGCGGCGCGTGCTCGGGCTTGAAGGAGGACCTGGGCTTGTGTCTGCTGCAGTCGGATTGTGTGATGCAGGTAGCGCAGCCGGGTGCTCCGGGTGGTGAAGACGGCTGCGCCGGGGAGGTTCGGCTCGGCGGAGGGCTGCAGGATGCCCGCCGCGGCGGTTCGAGTTAACCGTCCCGGGCGTAAGTCACAGGTCGGGCTCACTGAACGTCGCAGATCCATTGAGCTATTGGAGCCTCAGTTCTCTATGGGGTTAAATCGGAGACAACGATACCCACCCCGTCGGGTTTTTGTGAAGATTAACCTATTTGCGTTCACGAGGCGTTTATTGAATGCTAGCGCTCTGCTAAGTTCTGAAGACAAAAAGGAGAATAAGCCAGGTTTCTTGCCTGTCCAGAAATGAGAATCTGTAGAATGAATGATTCCAGAGAGTTGTGTAAACCCGGTACGCTGCCCTGGCCAGTAGTGTCTCTTGTCTGTTCAGTTGTGACTGAATGTATGCTAAATTTGCCTTGTGTTGATGCGAATGTTTCTGAGTTACAATTCTCTGCATTTTTGGATGTTAAGTTGTAAAAATAAAGCAACTCCGTATTTGCACGATTTCGTATCTTGCTTCCCCTACCCTCTTCCTTCACTTCCCGGCTACAGTCACTGGTCTCCTCAGCACCCAATCTGAATGCAGGGGCATGTAGTGAGGTTCAGAGTGGACCTGGGTTCTGCTTTTGAGCCCAAGTAAAGCACAAGTGACTTTTCCAATTGCAGAGGTCGGAGGGTATTCAGTTGTGTGCAATTATCTTTGCACTGGGGGATGTAGTTTCATAAAGGTGCTGTTATTTCAGCGAAAAGATTATCCCCAAATGGACATCCACTATAAGGCTGTATTAGTATTTCTTCCGAGTCACAATTTATGTTTGGTTCACCGATTTTAGCAGTTAGCCATTCTCACCTCCCAATGTCTAGTAAAACGAGTTATAAATTTAAGAGATTATCTCGCCAACTTCCTTATGTAAATGAGGAAACTGAGGTACCATTGTTTTCAGGCTCCCCTGCCCAGGGCTGTGTTCCCTCTGCCCCTCATTCACTGGTGCTGTTCAGCCCGCTCCTGGTAAATGCCTCTTAAGTGGCAGGCATGGTGCCTGACACTGGTGATAACAAAGATGTATCAGTAACAGTCACTACCCACGTAAGCTTGGTGTCATGGGAGAAGTAGACATCTAAGAGTCTAAATTCCTGCCATAAGACTAAGCATTTATTAAACATGCGTTTAATGACTAGATCTTGAGGGAAAAAATGCCTTAGCCCATGGAGAACATCTGATTTCGCTTCAGAATTTGGAATAATCTTCTGAGGTGACATTTGAGCTGAGTTGAAAGGTTGGGTAGTAGTTTATCAAGTAAAGGAGCAGGAATTGTTGTGGTTGTGGGGAAAATCTGAAAGAACAGCAAGTGCAGAGGCAGAGAGATGTGGGAAGGCCCAGAGGAGCTAGTGTTCATAAGATAGTGCAACAGAAGGCCTGAGGGGAAGGTTGCAGCCAGGTGTGAAGGCCTGCGTGTGTGTCAGGGTGAGGAGATTGGATTTTATCCAGACGTTCAGGCCATGTTGATGAATGGTCAAGGGAATAAAGTATGCCAAGTAGGACTGAGGAAAGGAACTGCAAGCTGAGGGCAGTATCGGCAGCACAGAGAATTCCAAGCTGGCTTTCTGCAGTGGTTGATACAGCAAACATGTATGGAGTGCCAGGCTCCAATTCAGGGAAAAAATACTGAAGAATGGAACATGGTCTCTCCAGTGTAGAAAGCCGGGCTTTGGAAGGCTAGCATGCTTTAGGCAGAGACGATGATTGGGACAGCTGGTACAGACTTTGCTTTCCCTGCCATTGAATACGTGGCCTTACCAATGCTCAGTTTGGTCAGCCAGAAAACCTGATGCTTATAAACAGTTCTTTAGCTGGATGTTCGTTTACAGTTTGTGTTAAATTCATTCTGAATGGTTACTTCAACTGGAGTGTACAAGGGCAATCACGGAGGTTTTCAGGTCCAGAACAATCTCCTACTTTCTTGGATGGTGTCACTGGCAGCTACTGCCCACTACTCCTCACTGGAGACTCTGAAGACCAGGGAAAGCTCTGCTGAGGTCTGTGTTTGCTCTGTATGGCAGCCTTATTTATGATGGAGATTTTAGATTTCTTAAGTTCTTGAAGAAAAAGGTTAATGTGAACTTAGGTTGGTGCTGCGGTCTCCTCTGGCCAGTATTTAACCCACCTGAAACCTGCAGCATCTCACTCTAGGGAGGAATTCAGCATAAACATGTATTTAGTTCTAGGTGCTGCTTTGGGAGATTGTCAAGGAGTTAGAGGGTCTCAGAGGAACTCAGGGTAATGGTAAGGATGTAAATTCCAATGGGGTTGGAGGAAAGCAGGGCAAAAGCAGATGCAAAAGGCCTCTCTTGGAGACTTATTAGAATTTAATGACTCCTGGATGATGAGGACAATGAAACTCTGCAAGAGGAACTCCACTCGTCACAGGGTATCTTCTCTGTTTCCACTAACAGCCTCCAGACCTGCTGGCTCTTCATCAGAACCACCTGCAAGTGGTGTGGCTTTTTAAAAGGACAGATTCCACTGCTGCCCTTACCCCACCCCCAATAAGTTAAAAGTTTCTTTCCTAGGTTGGTTCTTGGGCACAGCCATGTTTGAGAATGCTGACTGATCTTGACCTCAGAAAGCAAAAAAGCTTGGGACTGTATTAGTTATAAATTCAAGTACATGTTTCAGAGACCCAGGATAATAGTGGCTTAAACAAGATAGAGAACTTTCTCTTGTTTTTGTGCCTATAAGTAGGGCCTGGTCATTTCTCTCAGTCTTCCATGGACACAGACCCTGTTGATCTTGTGACTCTATATGCTGTGAAATAGGAAAATATAGGAAATAGGGTGTTGCTCTCATAGTCATGGTTCAAGACTGCTTTGCTTCCACATCATCAGGCCCGGCAACCATATGGAGTAAAGTGAGGAAGAAGGACAAGCCTCTTTAAGGACCAACCCAGAAGTTCTACCCATTTCCCACACATTCCAGTGGCTAGAACTTAGTCACATGACCACACCTAGATGCCAGGGTGTCTAGGAAATCTCACCCAGCCATATGCTGGATAAAAAGGAAGAGCAGACAACTAGCAGTCTGTTATTTGGGGTACAGTGGATGATGAATGACTGCCTCCTAGCTTTAGTGTATCTAATGGATCTTTACCCAGGCAGTTGGCAATACAGTATAGGTTGAAAGCTTTTGAAAAAGGTAGCATCTTACATACAGTTTGAAGAGGTATCAGCTTATAAACGATAGTTACAACCTTTTGTATGGTTAGTCTTTTGTCTGCCTCCACGTGGTTCATGTGGGCAACACATTCCACCAGCAGAATTGCAGAGTTTGGAGAGGAAGGAAGCTTGCTACTCTGATCCACTTTTGAGAGTCACTGATGTGGATGACATTTGATATCTAGGACCCAGGCAGACGTACAGACTGGAAGGTGGCCAAGATTCCTGGGGAACAGGAATACCACAGACATAGCGCCCTGTAGCTTTTCATAGTAAAAACTAGCGGAGTGTGCCTGGCACTAGCAACATAAAGGTTCTGGGGAGTGGTTGCAGTGAGGGGGTCGTAGAGTCAAAATCTGCTTGAGGGGAAACCCCAGATTATGCAGTGCCGGTGAGCATTGAGTTACATTTTTCCTGGTGCATGAATGGGCCACATGTTTCTATTTAGGTAGTATTCCAGCCTGCCTCGTTAATACCTATGTAAAGTGTCTCCTACCAACACTAAAAATGTTCTGATGTTAGGGTACATAGTTCATACATTTCACCCATAAGGAAATGAAGATATCCCCTTCTAGATTTTTATATAAACATTTTAAGTAAAAGTATCCTATAGAAACCAGTGTTTTCAAGAATTCAACAGTACCCTTCAAGTTCCCCAAAGTTACTTATTTTTTTTTTCATTCTTTAGGTACCAACAGCCCAAGTGAATTAAGAACTGTTTCTTACATAACTTTCTATTTTCCTCTTTTAACACTTTAAAAAAGAACTATTTTCAGAAGGACAATTATTTTGTACTTTGTGAGAAAATTTCCAAGGTGTTTATATTGTTTTATGTGTCTATCATAGGAAGGAAAATCCCCTCGGGAGTGTCTGAAGGAAGGATACTGCAAAGCTTTGAAATACTCATTTTTTGAGTGTAAAAGATCAACGGTAAGTGGTTAAAGATTTTTAAAAGCTTATGGTAAAAATTAGCTATATGGAGGTTAAATGTATGAATGACTTAATAGTTACAGATAAGTTGCAGTGATATGGTTTGGAAAAAAAGATGTGGATAGTATTTCTTATCCAATGAGTTAATGGTAAGTAGCATTCATAAAAACCCAGAGCTCATTGTTATGTTATTCTGTCACCATGCTAACCACAGCTACTGAACTTCATGCATTTCTGAAAGTGTGAGAATGAAGTCTCAGCAGGTATAGATGGGTACAAGTTGATGCTGGCCACTCGAGTTGAGATCAGTTGGCGATTGTACACAGACCTATAATGTGGAGCTCTAAGGTGTATATACTTGTGCCTTACGTGACTAAGAGAAAACGTCAGTATCTATGTTTGAATTTTGGAGGGATGGATTGTAGAAATAGGGCCTAAAAGGGGATTACAAATCTCTGGGGTTCATTCTAACATTCTCTGACTTGGAAGCTCTACAGATCTTTGGAATGAAAACTGATACCCTTTTCTTAGAGAAAAGCATAAAACCAGAAACATGAGCATCCCATTAAAGGAAGAAAGCACTTGGACTTGAGGATACTTTTTTTTGTGATGGAATCTTGTTCTGTCACCCAGGCTGGAGTGCAGTGACCCGATCTTGGCTCACTGCAACCTCCCAGTTCAAGAGATTCTCCTGCCTCAGCCTCCTAAGTAGCTGGGATTACAGGCACCTGCCACTACACCCAGCTAATTTTTGTATTTTTTAGTAGAGACAGGATTTCGCCATGTTGGCCAGGCTGCTCTTGAACTCCTGATCTCAGGTGGAGCCACCGCCCACTATGCCTGGCCTTCAGCATGCTTTTGCTTGCTTAGGAACTACACTGCAAATCCCTTCCCTTTTGTTACTTTTGTTACTGCAAGTGGTTGTAAACAAAGAACCTGAGCATTTTTGCCAGCTAATCAGATCCAGGGAGGCTGTACAGTTAGATTAAATTTGGCCATGCCCTTCTTCCTTTCTCAAGTGACATCTTTTCCTGTCATTCAATGTGAATAGAGAATGATTTTCTTGTCTTCTCTCACAAAGATTTGTTACCCATGTAAAATGCAAGCCTTTAACTTTGTAAAGAATTTCAAAGCATGTACAATAAACTCTGAAATTCTCTACCTGAAGGTCAGTCTTTG